AAAGATAAGAATTGCATGCATACATTTCTACGTGGGCAATTTTTTAGATAACTAAGTAAAATGCATAAACATATGCATGTATACATGCATGGCCAGTGTGCCCCATGTACAGGAAAAAAAGTCCTGATTAGGTAATTGCAAAAATTTTCAGATCTCCAGAAAGAGTAGGAGCCCTATAATTATGACTTCAGAACCATCTTTACCTCCCTTGAGTTCTTTATTTGCTAAAAAATTGTAGAAGAGTATTTTCTCAAAAGCTTTAGCTAATTCTTTCATAGCACTATACAAATCCACAGCTAAAGTAAATCTATTTTCTGGCACACATGCTTAGGAAATTTTTTTAAACTTAAGGCTTTTATGTTATGATTAAAAAAACCTTAATGGCCAGACAGTTACAAATACCTAATGTCAAAAATCCTTTTGGAAAAAAAATTACTTCATGAAAAATAGAACAGAAAAATGTGCAACATTTCACTTATTATCCAGTAGAAGATCAGTCAGTGGGTAGTAGGTCACTATTTAATTTGTCTTGATTATGCACAGAACATTAATTCCTGAAGCTCACTTCATTACAGCAGACACTATTTCTATTCATGTTACTTTCCTGAGTGGTCTGTGGGGTTTAAGCTATTAATAAGATGGATGATTGTATAAAGGACCCGTGTTTTGGGCTTTTTCAACTCTGAAATAACTTGGAGCCTGGCTCTGAAATAATTCCAAGGAGATTGTTAGAGTCAGGAAGAATAAAATGGAATTGAAAGCAAAAAAGAAAGAGGAAAGTAGAAACAACCACTTTATTTTCTGTAATTATTTTTTAAATGCAGTTTTTCTAAATGCAGATGCTAAGTTCACCTAATGGTTTGTGTGTAGGTGCCAATATATGCCTGTAAATAAGAACTCTGATTAAGGAGGACAGTGTAAAGAATGAAGATTGCTATTAAAAAACATGTTGTTGCTAATATAATACAGAACTCAAGCTGTTCCCTGCCTAGCACACACAATTAAGTCTTGTCAAATTATATTTTTCTCATGATACTGAAGAAAATTAAAATATTCTGGTAAGATTTTGAAAATAATCCTTCTGGTTAGGTATTTTCCAGTTACGAGTACATGTGAGCAGGAATTACTGGATTAAATTTAAGTTTTAAGAAAAATGTGAAGTGCTGCAGAAACATCAAAGTATTATGTACAATGGTATTCTGATGCTGCTAAGAGGATTTTAAGGGAAGGAAAATGTGAGCACTGAGGTAGTGAAGGTATAGTGTCAAGTTCAATGGGGATTAACAGAATGTGTTGAAAGCTTTTCCTGCAAGACTGTCATGGTACCTCATTTTAACCAGGCTATTGAAGAAGACGGTCTACAAAAAAACAGTGAGGATGTGGGAACATACATGCTGCTGGAGTTGGCTAAACTACGGGATAAATTTGAGATTGTTGGAGATGTCCGTGGCAAGGGACTTATGATTGGAGTAGAAATGGTGACAGATAAGGTTAGTGACTTCTTCGTTCAATTACAGTGCCATTGAAAGTTTTATCACATTTTATTTCAGTTGAAATTACAGAAATATTTCCTGTTAAAAAGCAGATAGTGAAGTGGGAAAACATGGCTCTGGCTAAAAACGAGCCAGAACATTCCATCATTCAGCTATTTCACAAGCTTTGAGTAAACAGTGACATGCATCTTAACTGCACAGACTCATGACAGCAGGTAAGTTATGCAGCTAACATTTTCAGCTAGAGGTGGGATTTATTCGAGATACTGGAACATACATCTTTGTAACAGAACAAATTTAGAATATCTAAGTTAAGTTTAGTATTTCCTTTCCTTAGGACAGTCGACGCCCTCTTCCAGTTGAAGAAATCAATCAGATCTGGGAAGACTGTAAAGACATGGGTGTTCTCATTGGCAGAGGAGGGCTCTACAGTCAGGTACTGAACTTCTGGTTATAAAGAAAGCTTACTTTCTATCCTTGTGAACTACATCCCCACTTCCCTCAAGTTAAATTAATTTAGTTGAGTAAATAAACTAGAAAATGTATACTCTTAGCAGCTATCTCTGTTTAATCTTGCTTATTTTAAAACTGGGCAGGAACTATTTGATTATTTTCAAATATTCTGAACCAGCTCAAAGCTTGCAGTTTTCCTTTAGAGAGACAACTTCACCTAGAAAACCAAGGTACTACAATCTATGCAATTTAGAAGAATTCAGCAATACTCAGGACCAAGTCTTTGCACAGTTTAGGTTATCACCTGACGCATCACTACAAAACTAGTAGTTCTTTGAGTCTGGGGAGCTGGTGATGTTCTAATTCTATGGTAATTAAAAGGGGAAAAAAAAAAGGTGTTGACAGCAAGTTCAGCAACAGCACAAAAGAGAGAACTGGATGTGAAGGCCATCAGCCCACAGCAGCTGAGGATTACATTACATGCTATAGCCAGAACACTGCATCAGCTCCCTGCAGCACTCAGTTAATGACAGAGAATTGCCTCAGGGCTGGTCCAGTCAGTGAAGCCCTCTGACACAGAGGAGACAGCTTCCATGTGAGATGGATGGAGGGTAGCTAAAATAAATCAAACACTGTGTCTGTCACCTCATCAGTTATTCCCTAAGTCACAGACCAGGAGGCAGGTAACAAGCTGAAGCTCAGTGCAGTAAAATCTCATTCTTTTTGATCAGAGGTCTGTTTATCTGTGAGTGTTTGCTTCAGCTGGGGCTGTGGGTGGGAAAGCCCATTATTCCACTCTTCCTGTATTAAGTCCTGTGATGCCAGAAAAATCCAAAATTTAAGATTCTCAAGGAAGATAAAATACTTTTGGAAACATAGATTGAATATTCCGATTTAAGAGCCTATGTTTTTGACAAGTGTAGCTGTACATATAACACTTCCTGATCAACATGCTTTCCAGCTATAGCACCCTAACTACAATATACTATTTAGTGATTCATTCATAATGTATTCTCTTAAAAGCCTTTAAAACCAGCCTATAATAAAACAGCAAATCGGCTGACACAATGCAAGAGACCACCACTCTCAGCAGATACTACTTTTCCCTGTGGTAGAACTGCAAGAAAGGAAAATACATCTGTCTCTGTTCTTTCTTTGTACAAATCCATCTGAGATTTTACTCTGTCTCCGTCTGCAGTAACAGAGCTGCAGACACGACCTACTCTACTTAGGTCTTTTGTGGAGGCAGTTAGGTTATCAAGAGGGGGTCATGAGTCAGATGCAATTCAGTGCAGTCAAGTTCAAAATTGCTCCACTTCAGAGTGCATTTATCATAAGCCTCAGTGCTGCACTGCTGTTCTCCTTTTCGCCTCACTTTTTTGGGGTGGGACTGCTGACCCAGTTAGGCTGCTTGAAACCATATCCTTTCCATACAATTTATTTTTCTTTTTGTTCTCTCTCCTCAGACATTCAGAATTAAGCCTCCTATGTGCATTACTAAGAGGGATGTCGACTTCGCTGTGGAAGTATTTCATACTGCTTTGCAGAGACACGTGGAAAGAGCAGCTGCAAAATAGAATAATTTGTTTCCTTACATGAGAGGCACACACAATCCCTGACACTTGCGACCCAGACTGGCCACTAATCTACCCTGGAAAATAAAATCACAGTGCGACGAATACATGCTTCTTCAATATCATAAAAGCACTCTGACAGACACAGTGTTCAACAAAACACATGGTGCAATCTGTTTTGTAAATTTACGGTTTAGTTCTACAGTGCTGATTTGTATTAACTGCACACCTATTATCAAAAAACCCTGACTGGATTAACAGGGTATCAAATGGAGAAGCTGGCATATGTTCTTCTTTCCTCCATGAAAGTTGTATCAAAATCAGTAGTTTTTAGGAAGAGTGACAGAAGCTGGGGAAGAAATTTCAGAGTAAAACTGTTTACCCTGTCTACAAGAACACATTGTAATTAGAGCATTACAAAAAGTTTGCAGACAGTTGAGATGTTTCTAATTACAGTAATTATTTTTATCATGGGGATAAAAATCCAGTCATCACCTTCTCCAAAAAACACTTCTCTTTTCTTCCTGGTGCTTTTGGAATTGCACAGCACGCCCATTAATAATTTTGTAAAGGTGCAAACTCTGGAAGGTGGAATAAGATGATCTTTCTTACATAATCACTTCTTAATGTGTAAAGTCATTGCTTCCTTCAGTTTCCAATTAAAAATAAATGCTGTGGTCAGCAAGAACTGTATATTTATCATTTTACTTTTATTCCAATTTCAATATTTGAAAAATTCCTTCACCCAATAAAGTACCATGTCAGGTTAGGGGGAGGAGAGTATTCTGCCAGTACTTAGAGGAACTTTGGTAACCGAGCATTCTTTCCAAATCTTACTCCATGAGTCCTAAACAATATTGTACAGCCTTTGCTGAGCACTGCCTTCTCCAATTCCATTGATAACTCCTATGTACAACCCAATTCCACTCCAAAATCAGGTGTTTGTTATCCCACCTTTTTTTTTTTCTACTCAAGATCAGGCAGATTATGGCTTCAAACAAAAGTGCTGTGTCTTTCCTAAGAAATCTGAACAAATTAATTCATTCATATCACTCATTTATTTCTCCTTCACTTATTCCAGCAAGGCTGTTCCACTAGACTGTTTTCCCCGACACCTGCCATGGAGGTAGATGTACAAAACAAATAGGAATTGTCAAAACTGATTAAACAGTTTTATCATCTAATTCCTTCCGTTCTGTCTGCTTAATGTAATTAAGTAATTTGAGGATGGCAGAAGAAAAGCCCATATCTTGGCGGTGTTTCATAGTTGATAAGGGATCAAAAAATCAAAGAATATTCTGAGTTGGAAGGGATCCACAAGGATCATTAAGCCCAGCTCTTAAGTGAATGGCCCATAGAGGGATCAAACCCATGACCTGGGTGTAACTAGCACCATGTTCTCACCAACTGAGCACAGTCCCCTGCTACTGGCTACACTCACCCTGAGCTGAGCTCTCTCAAAAGAAAAGCAACAGCATACGTGTCAAAATAATTTATTATTTCCTCTGTGTGGTTACTTTATCCATGCATGTTTCTTCAGCAACACAGGGTGAGTAGCTTTAAGTTACTACTTCCCCACCCGTGGTGTGAAAGCTGCTGCAGGGTAAGGGGCTTTAGACAGAGTGGTTTGGTGGCAGGAGCACCCACCTGTGCCGTGACACCAAACCATTCTATGATTAAAGGAAGGTTGTTTAAAACAGAAGAAAGCACAGAGTCCTCCACAAGATAGTATTCCTTTTGTGCATCTTCATTTTTTTTCCTATTTTGGTACTTGCCTTCTTTGTTTAAATCCAGACACAGGCAATGTGCATGTTTCACTTCTGAGAGAGTGTTAATGTACAATTCTGAAGACGGTCACTATAGCAAAGTTCTATCTGTTTTTACGTTTCTCTTTTTTAGTTTTGGCATTCGCAGCTCCATTTACAGTCGGTGTTGTTGTTGCTCTTGCGTGTCCTGTGGCTTTCAGGTGTTCAAACAATTTATTTCGTGATGGAAATGCACAATTGCAGGTTACACAGTGGATGGGAACTTCATTCTACAATGAGAAAAAAAAAAACCTCAGAACGCTTCACATTCATATTGAATATGTTGGCAGTGCAATAACACCAATTTCTTGCACACAGTTTCTCCTTGGCAGTGAAGCAGGAATAAGCTGTTTGTTTCTATCATCAATATTCCATTACTCATTAACGATTAAACACATATTTTTAAAAAATAATCGCAAATATACCTTCATGAAATTTCAAAGTGTTTTAAGTAAAACCAAGAATGGAAGTCTTGCAAATCTAATTCAAAGTAAAGAATTGTTTTGATCTCACCTGACCCCAGAGTTAATACTTTGGGCTCTGAGATGCAGTGAATTTAGTATGTCTTAGCTGTAGTTACTAGAAAGTTTTGCTCTCCGGCAAGCATCAATATCAAGAAAGATGCAAATAGTACTGCCTGTCACCTGCTGGGTGACAACAGCTCTGTCCCCAGTTGTTTAATTTATTAGAACTGCCTTTAGAACACAGAACTTTACCAACTCTCCTAGAAATGAAGCTTAGTCCTGCATTTCTCTATGAGGCCATGAGCTGAAGTTTCAGTTCTATTAAAATCACAGGGGTAGAATTGGTGGACTGGAGGTTAGCAGCTTTCTTTGTAGTTATATGACCCCCACCTTTTAGCCCTCCTATAAAGACAGGCTGAGAGAGATGAAGAGAAGGTTCCAGGGAGAACTCATTGCAGCCTTCCAGTGCCTTAAGGGAGCTTAAATAAAGGAGGGAGAGTGACTTTTTACACAGGCAGAGTGACAGGACAGTGGGCAATGGTCTTAAACTGATAGAGGGTGGGTCTAGATTACACATTAGGAAGAAATTCTTTACTGTGAGGGTGATAAGGAATTGGCCCAGAGAAGTTGTGAATGCCTCATCCCTGGGAAGTGTCCAAGGCCAGGCTGGATGGGGCTTTGAGCAATGTGCTCTACTGGAAACAAGATGACCTTTAAGGTCCCTTCCAACCTATAATTATATTTTAAATAGCGTAAGTAATCTGACATACCGTTGTTGAGCTCTCTGAAGATGCCTTAGCAGACTTTTTTGCTTCCTTGGCTTTCTTCCCCTTAGGCTTAGTGCTGCTAATAGACAAAGCAAGATCAATGCACAGGAACATTAAACATTTACAAGCTTCTGATGTTTTCCAGTTTTCAATGTCTCTGCTGCTTTTCCCTGTTCTTGCTTCATGCAACAAAATGTAAGTGTATCCAGAAGAAAAAATTAATTTATACAATCGTTTATATCAAAATGTTGAATCTGCTCTTGGGAAATGATATGGCAGCAAACTGCAGTCAAATACCACTTTCAGAGAAGTTCCTACACTCTTTGTTCAGTATCGTATTTATTCAAACCAGTTTTGGTGAGCAGCCCCCCCAGAGTCTACATTTGAAAGTAAATCTATCCTTGTTTGACAGTATCAAACATGACACAGAATGACACAGTGACTGCAATGTTGTAACCCCACACACCTTTTTGCTTCACTTTTTGTTTCATTCTCTTGGCTGACATCATCTGTAACGCCTGTGTCCTCTGACATAGTACATCTTTGGCCATCATTTACCAACTCCTCTGTTGAGCCACAGTCCTCCATGCTGTGTACTTCCTTTTGTTCAACTGTTTCTTCATCAGCACTTTGATCAAAAGAGTCCTCATAACTCTGTCCAAACAGAAGAAATCCAAGTTAAATACTTTCAGTTCATTAGTGACTATGTTTATAGTATTATACTCATTTACCTCAAATATGGGTGGGTTGGGAGGAGAGAAAGCCATGGACCCTCTCAATTTTACTGTGTGTTTTCAGTGAGACTGTAACATGTAAAACCTTAGTTCTCCTGTTTTGAAAGAGGAGGCCACCTGTGGTGAAGGGAAGAAATACCAATAAAACAGCCTCTGAAATTACAGAAGAGGAGAATGAAGGCAGCTTTTAACTACACACAGGGTTCCTCCTGTTCTGACTACCATTTCTTATTTCACAGATAGTGGCTTGGCTTATAACTTTGCAAAAGGTTAATTATTTAGACTAAAGTTTTCTGTGCCAGACAACTGCATTAGGACATTCAAGCCAAAATAACTGAGCTGTCTGAAATTAGGTAGACAACTGTAATTTCCTTCCCTAGTAAATATTGGCAGCCTTTTCCATGTGCCAGATCAGACTCAATATATGTAGTTTGGCAAAATATCGACTCCCTCTCTGAAGCAGAACAGCAAAGCTCCCAAAAGCACAATAAAAAATTTGACATAACACCACACTATTGCAGCTCTTACCATCTCCAGTGCAAAGCCTCAGCTACCTAAAAAAGACTTTTCTCATCCTAACTTCAGGAAAAGAAAATAAAACCCACAGAGAGTCCCAGCACTCCACAATGCTTGACAGAGGATGGAGTTCAGGATTTCTAAGCACAAGATTCCATCTCGTGCAATGCAAGAGTGGCACCTACTGTCCAGCCTGTAGCAAACTGATGGAACACAGCCACAGTGACTGTGTGCCCCCTCTGCAGTGAGAACAGACCTTCTGGTCTCAGAGAAGGAAAGAGTTAACTGAAGCCTCATGACCTGCACAGAAACATGAAGGTCAAGCCAATACTCGGACTATGCAACTGAACCAGCCAATGTGAAGCCGGGAAACACCATCTGCTTGAAAGTCTCAGAAAAGCTTCTTAAGAGCAAGAGATAACGATGGAGTGGGAGAGGGCAGAAAAGATGAACAGAGAATAGGAAATCAGAGGGAAAAGCATGGAAGAGGCAGGAGCTAGTACTGATAGCTCACTTGAACAAGGGAAGGACTGAGGAGTAAGTACTTGAAAAGGATAAAGTTTGAGGGAGGCAGACAGAGAAGTGTGCTGATTATGACACTCCTACCACTCAAACCTGAAACAGCTTGCACTTGGTGAATTCCACCTGTTGCTGCCAGCACAGATCTGTGATACCACACACAGACTCAGATCCTGGAGTACAACAGACTGGTGTTACTTTTGTTTGTAGTCCAAGAGAAAGGTGGAATGGATGTGTTCATTCCAACAGCTACAGTGCCATTAGGAAACCAATACTGTGGCAGTCTTTTTGACTCCTCTAAATTAGAGATTAAAAAACAATTCATTATACCAACCCCTGCGACTAAAACCAGAAGTGACCACCAACTGAGCTCTTAATGCGCCAAGGCCACTACTGGTCTTCCTGATCAATTCCTTGCATTCTCCCTATCTGCCTGTTTCCATCTGGTTTTTTTCACACGTCAGACTGCAGCCTTTTTAGAGTCAGCACATTCTAACACAACAAAGTGAGGTCTGTGATGTTATTATCATAAAATATGATTATAATAAGTCTAATCAAAGTTATTCTGGTGGCAAAGAAGAATTAAAAGTATTTTAAAATAGTCTTCAAATTCTGTGGAATTTCAAGTTCTCCTGTTTTGCAGGACAGAAAAATAGCTTGTCAAGAGATAACAAAACTGCCTTATAAAGGTCCCAGAGTATCATTATGACTACATACCTTCATTGTTTTCTGTTTCTTCCTTTGTTTCTTTGAGAGTCTGTAAGATAATTTTAAAATTATCTTTTTTTTAACATAAAAACCCCAAAACTAGTAGGATTTCTAAAAAGGTGTCAAGCTATACTTTTCCTTCATCTTCTTAACATGGTATTAGATAGCCACAAAAATAAAGTTACTCATGCTAGAAATTAAAACAGTACGTCTCCCAAACTACTCATTGCATTTAGGAGAATATTTATTCTACTCAAACTGAACCCAAAGATACTAGTGAGATAGTTAGGATTATGCTCTGGCTGTTTGAAAAATGAAGTTGTGTAACAATTCTGATTTTGAGCACACTCATTTTCCATTTATGCCAGCAATCAACTGACAGTAAGTACCAAATCAATAAGCACTGCCACTGTGGAAGTCCCTCTTCCTTGAAAAATAACAAACCCTTCTTTGCCTTAACATATAAATTTAAAGCAGCAGAAAAAACATGTCTGTTGTTCTATGGCACTCAGATGCAGTCATGCAAATGCATATGTTTTACTGCAACTCTGATGCTAAGAAATATTTCAAATTGCACAATATTGAGAGCAAATGCAGTGGCAAATCATCAGGAGCTCCCTTTGAAGGCCACTAAGACTTAGTAAATCATGATTCATGATAAAATTAAAAATAATTTTAAGTACTTCTGTTTGGGTATGTCTTCTGTTTCTTCCTCCTCTTTGGTCTGTATTTCATCTGCATCCTCCAAAGACACAGGAAATTTCTCTTCCTCCTCTTCCAATTGCTGACGTAACAGTGATACCATCTCTCGATGCTTCTTTGATTTTTCGTGATTCTTCATGCTGTGAAGACCAGATTGTTACTGCAGGTTGCTCTGAGCAAACATTGTTATATTTGCATATAAATTAATAACAGGCCCACTATCCAGCACTACTAAGCATGGTAATTTCTGCACTGACAATGCCTTAACTGGAAAAACAACACTGACCACTATGTGAAGTTAAAAGTTATTTAAAATGCAGTCTTAAATTACTTATAACCCAACATCTCCACCCTCAAATCCCCAACCACAAATACTTACGCTTTCTCAGTTTTTAACAATTTGTCACAAGCAGGGCAGTACAGACCATCAACAAATTCAGCTTCTTCAGTTTCGTCGTTCAGTTTGTCTGAAGAGATCAGAGGGGATCAGAAAAGCAAAGTCAGATGAGCAATTTTTGATTAAGCTGCCCTTTAAGTCCCAGAATATAGTCACAGCACTGACATTCAATTTCTCCAGTACTACTGACACACAGACAGCTCAAGATCACTTCACAAAATCAGACACTGGTATAAATTAACAGGTGCAGCTTGTTGAAAGGAAAACACCAGTGAGGGTCAGACTCTAGTCCAGCACTCTCAGAGGGAGGCAGTGAGTTCATTATAGTCAGAGCTGTGAATCTGAGGCTGAAAGTGAGCCACACTTATACGGCAGTGACTCAGTAAAGATCACCTTCCCACACACCATACCTTCAACACCTTTTGTCTCCTGTTCTTCTAATTCATCTTCACCACCTGATCCATCTCCAAATTCCTTTTCGTATTGTGCTTCCATCTCTTGCAGCTCTCTCTCCAGATCTGACATAGTTATCCAGCTCTGCTCTTTGTACTGCTCAGCAAGCCTGCAAGCAGAAGACAGATGCTACAGGAACAGTGTTACTTAAAGATAACTTCTATTTAAAGATTATTGTTCTTGGGCATCTCAGGAGGAAAGTTCTCCATCTATTATTACAGAGCAAACAATTGGAAGTCTGAGCAATCTGAGTTAATTTGTGATGTCAACGGGCACCTCTACACTGCAAGCAGAAATACTAACATAGGTAGGTAGGTCCTCATTGAATTTCAGGCAGAACATGCTGTGCAGCATGGTCAGTTATCAAGCTGACAGCAAGGAAGTCAATTCAATCCTACTCTAAGGTCCAAACTCACAAAAAATACAGGACAACAAAATCCACAAGCACATTACTCTTTGACTGTGTGTTATGGGAATGTACCAGACTCAGTCTTCCCAACCTAAGTGCGCTCCAAGTTATCAAATCGGGCATCAGAGGATAGCTGAATTTTGCTCCATCTAGCTTCTGGCCTCAGAATTATCAAGCCACTTGTCAATAAATGCATAACCCTACTTTATTGTCCCTAAAGGGAGAAAGTATATATGTATTTATAGAAAAACAGTATGTAATACACTTCATATATGTTATTATATAATTTTGATCAATCAGTTAATTTGCAAGTGCACAGTTAGTAAGAATTTAAGCTCCTCCCTTATATTTGCAGGCAAACAGTTCTTCCAATTGAAAAAATAAATTGTGGCTATAGCCGGGAGACCACCTCTTCCTATTCTGGCAAAAAAGCCAAACTTTTGACACAGCATCTAGTCCAAGAAAACGGTCCTTTCCAAAGAGTTATAAGGGAAGACAAAGCTAAGCTCATTTTCCCCTCTTTCTTTTTTGCAGGTATAGCTCCAAGGCAGATGATCTAAGTCTGGGCTGTTAAAGTCCTGTTCTCCCTTATTCTGCAACTTCATTCTTATTTCTTTAAAGGAACAAAGATAATTATTAAATCTTATTTCCCCAGCTAAATAAAAGCACACTGGATTCTGTGCTATTACAACCAGTTACCCACAGCACCCAGATAACCATTCCCCAGTTATCTTAGATCTCTACAAGTCAATACAATGCAGAAACCTGAGTTTTAAAAAGCTCAGGCTTGCAACCAAAGTTAATACCTAAAATTTTCAAGGATGTTTAAAAGAGCAAGTGGAGTTACTTTTTTAGAATCTATGTTTATATTGTATCCTCACTGATAGTTTCTCCAAGTTAAAAATATTTGTTCCACATGTACATACTTGGCTTGTTTTAGCTTCTGTTGCCTCCGAAATTCCTCTGCTTTCCTAGTTTTTTCTGCATTTTGTTCTTCTAAAAGTTTTCTGTGAGCCTGTACTCTTTTATCCCTTTTACGAATAAAGGCTACTAGTTGACGGATCAGTTCATTCCTCTCTTTCCTTGCTTTCTCTCTCGTTTTCTTGTTCTCTTTTTCCATAGCTCGCTTCTCCCAGCGGTTTGAGGCTTGTCGTGTGTCATACTCTTCTTTCCAAGCAAAGTTTTTCTGCGTACAGAAACTCTGCCAATATGCATAGAAAGGGTGGACTACCTGTAAGAAAAAACAAAACTGAGTCACTGAGGAGGGACAGAAAAAACAGATAAATAATTCAGGGCTTTTGTAACAGTTTTTTTCCGAAATTCTATACAGGCCACAGTTTTGCCTCAGACTAATGAAGATTTATAGAAACTTCTAACATCATCCTTGAAGACTGAAAGCATGTCAATTTAACAACCTTGTCTAAACTATTACAAACTGCAACTTCCAAAAATATCCCCCTGCAGGACTAGATCATGCTGACACTAATGTCCAGTTACTTAGCTGTGCTGTATTTCTCCTGTCGAACTAAAAGCACAATCAGAATCACACATGCTGCCTGCAAGGCGGTAACTTACCTAGGAACCTCCACATTAAACCACACCAGAGGTCAGCCACACGTTTGCACAGCATAAAAAAGCAGCAAAATAAATACGTAATGGTATTTCTTCCCTGTACATTCCCTCTGCCTCCTGAGCAAGACAGAAGTGAACAGCCCTTGATGATACAACAGCAAGGAGCCCTGACTCACACAGTTTAACAAAGGGCTATGTGAAGAAACATTTATTCCTGTTTTGTTAGCAAACTACATGATTGTAGGTTAAAATTATGCTCCCTAACTTTCACATTAAAAGAAAAAGTAAGTGATCATTATTTATTCTCCTCTCTTTTACTAGCCATGGGTAAATGCTGGACTAATAACATCATAATCACTTTGGGTTTGTTCGTTATTTCTCTCTAAATAATTATTGTCCTTCTGCATTTTGTATATTGATATATTCAGCAACCAAGATATGCCTAAACTCCCTTCTTACACTACTCGCCCCACCAATCTTCCTTTTTAATACTCACTCGTATATGCCAAACTGCCCATATTTTGAGATACCTCATAGAAGCACTTAACAAAATAGTTTAATGTTTTCTTCTAGTGAGTCCTCTTCTTCTTCTGCTATTTTTATTCACAGGAACTACAACTATCAATTGTTTTTCATGGGATTAACTCAACAATAACTTCCAGTAGCCTACCTGCATGTGAAATTCGTGGCTGTGGCTTCTGGCAGCTAAGTCACTAGAGTTTTTCTCTGCTATTACAAAAAATAACCAATTCATATTTCTTTCAACAGCCTAAGTAATACTAGACTACTTAGCTCAGATTTCTGCTTCAGAAGACGATACCTCTGTGCAAAAGGATGCACACCCACCAACTGGTGACAGGGATCATCCTCCTCTTTCCGAGATGTATAAGGTGGGACTCTCCCCATTCTCAGCAGCTACCTTAACAATCTGCACATGTCTGGCATTCCTCAGCAACCTGTACAGTAGTCCTTGCTCAATTCCCAGGTGGATTTTGTTTTGCCTACTACAGATACCTGGAGCTGATCACTTTTGTTTCTGCATTACTAGACCTGCAAGTTTTCTTTCCCAGGAAGGTTTGTAACCTCATGGCCTTAAGAACATCTTTCCTGGCTGCCTGGCACTGCTCAAGCTTTATCTCAAGCTTCTTGTGAATTCAGAGAGTAGACCAAACCAGAGAGCACTCACATCACAGATTTTGAAGCCTTTGTATAGTTTTTGTAGCTCCCTTCTAAAACTCTTTTCCCATTAAATTCCTACAGTGTAGAGAAGTGAGCACTGCAACGCTGGAATCCTTGACAGTGTAATCTCTTTGTCTGAATACAAGATAACAGGGAAAATTACCTTTGTACTTAACAGAGGCTATTTCGTATAAAATACCCCTATGAATCCCTAAGGAGAAAAAAAAGTGAGCACTCTGTTTCCAGAACAGTGTGAACTAGGCAGATGTCAAAGCATGTTTCTATTCGAATTCCAGTCCTTTTTGCAGTTATTAAATGACATATACATTAAAACTATTTTGAGTCTATAATCATATCTATCCCATGACCTCAAAACAAGCAGTTTTCAAAAGATGTTTCAAGATTACTACATTAAAAGACAGATTTTAGCTGGTTCAGAGACACTATGTATTCTCCCTGGGAAAGATTTCCACTTGTAAGCTACCCCGTAACTTCTCCCCACCTCCAAATACCCTTTCAGGCACCTCTTAAGAAATTTGATTGTAACTTTTGTTTCCAACTCCAGCCAAGTTTTGTACCACTGAAGTTACTAACTTTTAAGGTATGTTCTGATTCAAATTTCATAAATAATTAGCCATACAGAGAAAAGTGACAGGGAGAAGTACCACACTAGAGTGGTACTCTGAGTGCACTTTATACTGTGCAGTTATTCCCTAGGGAAAGTGTTATCACCTCATTATTTAATTTCAACGCAGAAATTTTTTAAAAATCCTAAATCTGATAGTAGTCTGATAGATTATAATAAATAGCTGGCAAACCAGATGAAAATAATTCAAGTCATACAAGTACCCATACACTTTCTTTGCTTCCTTCACAGAGGAAAGCATGCAGTGTTTTCTGTCATTCCAGACGACAATGTAACCATAATGGAAGCTCACATTGCCAGTCAACATCACATCTATTTTCTAAAGGCTGTGCTACACACCAAGTGCTATGCAGTTTTCCTGTATGAGGCAAGATACCACATGTTATAAGAAGAAAAAATTAGCTTTAGAAAAAATACCCCTATCTGCAACATAGGTTGTGTTAAACACTGGTAAACCACTCTCGCCAGAAAGCAAAGAAAACTTGCAATATTTTGCTTTATAGGTCTTGCACTAGACTTAAGTTCCATTGGCATAATTGATGGTTGGCCCTGTGAAGTATCTGTGTGACAACTCACCCCACAAGCCTGGCTAATACTACAGTCCAACAGGAAATACCAATTTTAATTCACATAAATATGAATCAGACCACAAGCACTTCCTTTGCAGTAATGGTCTACAACAGTAGAAAATAACCACAGACACATGGTATTCACCTCAGAGATCAGCAGGTGCCTTTCCTTTGGGACAAAGCAATGGTTTAACTCCGTTACCTGCAGTTCAATTTTACACCTGCCCTTACCGTATCATAGTCACTATGGGAATACCCAAACGTAGGGAATTCTTCAATATCTTCCTGTGTCATATATTCCAACTCTTCCTTTGCAATCTTCTCAAAAACTTGTCGATAGACTGTAAAGAATCCCTGAAATAAATAGATAAATAAACCTTTTGCACAGCTCAATAACAGATGTACAAATCCTCACGTGCAGTGTATTTTAGAGAAACATTGCTACACTGTAAGAACAACTCAAAACCAGAGTAAAGGCCTTGTTAGCATTTGCTTGAGGTACAAGACCCTTCATAACAAAGTTCCACTATCTCTCATGCCTTTTATTTCCACCTTCTTCACACAGTCTGTCTCTCTCACACGTGTCATCAAATACAAATTTTAAAAGAAAAAAAGTATCCATATGCTGGAGATGGTGATAAGTTTCTAGTTACACAGGATCAAGTTTTGTGGAAGTTCCAGACATAAAATTCACTAGTAAAAATCCTATATTTTTCTAAATTAATATGTTACTAACTGACTACTAGTACAGTAACAAAAAGACAAGTATTTTCTCTGGTGGATGTTTTTCAAACCACTTGGAGCTTTTTAATATATAGTGAGCACTTTAAAATCCAATTGGGAATTCAAAAATCCAACATGAAATTCAATTATATCAAGCACATTCGCCCCAAAGACTGTTGTTACACTGCTTTTCTGTAGTTTTAAGCATTCTAGTTTGATAAAGGTATTTCTAAACAAAGAGATGGTATTGCAAAGCCATGGAATGCTTCACTGTGTAAGATAAATAAACAAAATGCACACATCTGTAGTTGTACGGCATAGCTGGACATTATGATTAAGTAACTGTTGGACAATATGCAAGAATTAAAGCTTCTTTATACATCCAGGGTAAGTTTTGTCTTAGATTTGTGTAAGCTGTGCTAACAATTCTACATATAACTTTAACACAAAACAAATGCCAACACTTATAATGGAATTTAAACTGATTCATTAAATATTAATTGATTCATTACCTTTTCATCATCCCCATATCCAGAGTAACAGCTAACAGTGAAGTAGTGCAGCAGATCTAAGCTATCATCTTGATAGTCTCCATCAACTCCCCCTTTCAGCAGAGCCTCCCTGTGATTATCATACCTGGAAAAAATTCACAGCATCAAGGATGTAGAGACACAGAACACTTCTCAGTGCTGATAAACTAACACAGTACACCTATCACACACTGCATACCTTAACCCACTGCCTGTAATTCGTCTCTCACATCCAAAGTCTTCAGAGAGAAAAAAACATGACAGACCCAGTAATTACTCCCTCTTGAACTTTACGTACTTTATCAGCAATATCTATAGCAGTAATTCGTCAACAGCCAGCTACCAAACAACCACATTTGAACAAGATGCCTCACTGAACTTCCAGAAAAGAGTAGGGCATTATTTAAATCCCCCAAATCATACATAAGCACATAAAAACTGAAAACACAGTCCTGTATTTTCAAGGGGGACAAACTCAGGAGAGGTGGGTTTGGCTGTGTAATCTGGAAAATCCTTCAGACACTGTGAAAAACAAGCTACGCAGAACATTCAGAATAGCAACCCCTTAGAGATGTGCACGTGTGTATTTCAAATTAGGACTGAACACCTCTATGCACTGCCCAAGGCCTGGGGGCTGGCCAGAGCTGCCCCTCAGAAGCTGCCCCGCGCTCGGGGAGGAGGAAGCAGGCCAGGCGTGGCTGCTGGCAGGGCTCCCCGGGGCCCAGCACGCCTCCAGCCCCCGGCACACCACGAGGGCGGTGAGCGTGCGGAGCTCTGCTCTTCCGTGGGGCTACACGGCTCTAACTCTTACAAAGCCTAAAGCCAGGCTCCTGCCCACGGATGCCCTGGTTGCCTCGCAGCGAGGAGGCCCAGGAGCAGCACAGCCAGGGCTAGTAAAGCCTATGCCAGGCCAAGCGCGGCTCACCAGGCCCGTTCCTGTGGGTCGCTGAGCACGTCGTACGCCGCCTGGATCAACTTGAACTGCTCCGCTGCCTCCTCCGCGTTCTCGAGGTTTTTATCTGCACGACAATTTAATGAAACCGTGTCAGCGGCGGTCAGGCTCGGCGGCAGCAGCCGCCCCGCCGCCCCCGGCACCGAGCCAGGCGACAGCGCTGTGCCCCCGCGCCGTGAGGGGCCGGGGCCGGGGCCAGGCCCGGGCCGTACCGGGGTGCCAGCGCAGCGCCAGCCGGCGGTACGCCCGCTTCAGCTCCTCCTCGGCGGCGTCGCGCCTCACGCCCAGCACCTCGTAGTGGCACTTCATGGTGATGGCGGCGGCGGCGACCGGCGGGGCGGGGACACTGGGACACCGGGACACCGGGACACCGGGCACGGCTGCCCCGCGGCGGGAGGGGCGAGGCCGGCAGTGGGAGGAGCGAGCCGGGAAGGGAGGGACCTGAGGCGCGGTGTCGCCCGGCTGCCGGCAGCGCGGCGGGGTCGCTTCTCCCCGGGTTCGCGCGCTGCAACCGCGCGGTGTCAGCTTAACGGGATACATTCTGCTGGAATTCACGGAATCAGTGGGGGTGGAAGAGATCTCCGAGATCATGGAGTCCTACCCGTGACCCAATACCACCGTGTCAACCACACCATAGCGCTGAGCGCTGCGTCCAGGTTTTTCTTAAATACCTCTAGGGACGGTGAGTCCACCGTCCTTGGGCAGCCCATTATAATGTCTAATCACCCTTTCTGTGAAAAAATTACTCCTAATGTCCAGCGTTAACGTCGCCTGGCACGACTTAAGGCTGTGTCCTCTTGTCCTATTNTGTGCTTCCATCTCTTGCAGCTCTCTCTCCAGATCTGACATAGTTATCCAGCTCTGCTCTTTGTACTGCTCAGCAAGCCTGCAAGCAGAAGACAGGAACTACAGGAACAGTGTTACTTAAAGATAACTTCTATTTAAAGATTATTGTTCTTGGGCATCTCAGGAGGAAAGTTCTCCATCTATTATTACAGAGCAAACAATTGGAAGTCTGAGCAATCTGAGTTAATTTGTGATGTCAACGGGCACCTCTACACTGCAAGCAGAAATACTAACATAGGTAGGTAGGTCCTCATTGAATTTCAGGCAGAACATGCTGTGCAGCATGGTCAGTTATCAAGCTGACAGCAAGGAAGTCAATTCAATCCTACTCTAAGGTCCAAACTCACAAAAAATACAGGACAACAAAATCCACAAGCACATTACTCTTTGACTGTGTGTTATGGGAATGTACCAGACTCAGTCTTCCCAACCTAAGTGCGCTCCAAGTTATCAAATCGGGCATCAGAGGATAGCTGAATTTTGCTCCATCTAGCTTCTGGCCTCAGAATTATCAAGCCACTTGTCAATAAATGCATAACCCTACTTTATTGTCCCTAAAGGGAGAAAGTATATATGTATTTATAGAAAAACAGTATGTAATACACTTCATATATGTTATTATATAATTTTAATCAATCAGTTAATTTGCAAGTGCACAGTTAGTAAGAATTTAAGCTCCTCCCTTATATTTGCAGGCAAACAGTTCTTCCAATTGAAAAAATAAATTGTGGCTATAGCCGGGAGACCACCTCTTCCTATTCTGGCAAAAAAGCCAAACTTTTGACACAGCATCTAGTCCAAGAAAACGGTCCTTTCCAAAGAGTTATAAGGGAAGACAAAGCTAAGCTCATTTTCCCCTCTTTCTTTTTTGCAGGTATAGCTCCAAGGCAGATGATCTAAGTCTGGGCTGTTAAAGTCCTGTTCTCCCTTATTCTGCAACTTCATTCTTATTTCTTTAAAGGAACAAAGATAATTATTAAATCTTATTTCCCCAGCTAAATAAAAGCACACTGGATTCTGTGCTATTACAACCAGTTACCCACAGCACCCAGATAACCATTCCCCAGTTATCTTAGATCTCTACAAGTCAATACAATGCAGAAACCTGAGTTTTAAAAAGCTCAGGCTTGCAACCAAAGTTAATACCTAAAATTTTCAAGGATGTTTAAAAGAGCAAGTGGAGTTACTTTTTTAGAATCTATGTTTATATTGTATCCTCACTGATAGTTTCTCCAAGTTAAAAATATTTGTTCCACATGTACATACTTGGCTTGTTTTAGCTTCTGTTGCCTCCGAAATTCCTCTGCTTTCCTAGTTTTTTCTGCATTTTGTTCTTCTAAAAGTTTTCTGTGAGCCTGTACTCTTTTATCCCTTTTACGAATAAAGGCTACTAGTTGACGGATCAGTTCATTCCTCTCTTTCCTTGCTTTCTCTCTCGTTTTCTTGTTCTCTTTTTCCATAGCTCGCTTCTCCCAGCGGTTTGAGGCTTGTCGTGTGTCATACTCTTCTTTCCAAGCAAAGTTTTTCTGCGTACAGAAACTCTGCCAATATGCATAGAAAGGGTGGACTACCTGTAAGAAAAAACAAAACTGAGTCACTGAGGAGGGACAGAAAAAACAGATAAATAATTCAGGGCTTTTGTAACAGTTTTTTTCCGAAATTCTATACAGGCCACAGTTTTGCCTCAGACTAATGAAGATTTATAGAAACTTCTAACATCATCCTTGAAGACTGAAAGCATGTCAATTTAACAACCTTGTCTAAACTATTACAAACTGCAACTTCCAAAAATATCCCCCTGCAGGACTAGATCATGCTGACACTAATGTCCAGTTACTTAGCTGTGCTGTATTTCTCCTGTCGAACTAAAAGCACAATCAGAATCACACATGCTGCCTGCAAGGCGGTAACTTACCTAGGAACCTCCACATTAAACCACACCAGAGGTCAGCCACACGTTTGCACAGCATAAAAAAGCAGCAAAATAAATACGTAATGGTATTTCTTCCCTGTACATTCCCTCTGCCTCCTGAGCAAGACAGAAGTGAACAGCCCTTGATGATACAACAGCAAGGAGCCCTGACTCACACAGTTTAACAAAGGGCTATGTGAAGAAACATTTATTCCTGTTTTGTTAGCAAACTACATGATTGTAGGTTAAAATTATGCTCCCTAACTTTCACATTAAAAGAAAAATTAAGTGATCATTATTTATTCTCCTCTCTTTTACTAGTCATGGGTAAATGCTGGACTAATAACATCATAATCACTTTGGGTTTGTTCGTTATTTCTCTCTAAATAATTATTGTCCTTCTACATTTTGTATATTCATATATTCAGCAACCAAGATATGCCTAAACTCCCTTCTTACACTACTCGCCCCACCAATCTTCCTTTTTAATACTCACTCGTATATGCCAAACTGCCCATATTTTGAGATACCTCATAGAAGCACTTAACAAAATAGTTTAATGTTTTCTTCTAGTGAGTCCTCTTCTTCTTCTGCTATTTTTATTCACAGGAACTACAACTATCAATTGTTTTTCATGGGATTAACTCAACAATAACTTCCAGTAGCCTACCTGCATGTGAAATTCGTGGCTGTGGCTTCTGGCAGCTAAGTCACTAGAGTTTTTCTCTGCTATTACAAAAAATAACCAATTCATATTTCTTTCAACAGCCTAAGTAATACTAGACTACTTAGCTCAGATTTCTGCTTCAGAAGACGATACCTCTGTGCAAAAGGATGCACACCCACCAACTGGTGACAGGGATCATCCTCCTCTTTCCGAGATGTATAAGGTGGGACTCTCCCCATTCTCAGCAGCTACCTTAACAATCTGCACATGTCTGGCATTCCTCAGCAACCTGTACAGTAGTCCTTGCTCAATTCCCAGGTGGATTTTGTTTTGCCTACTACAGATACCTGGAGCTGATCACTTTTGTTTCTGCATTACTAGACCTGCAAGTTTTCTTTCCCAGGAAGGTTTGTAACCTCATGGCCTTAAGAACATCTTTCCTGGCTGCCTGGCACTGCTCAAGCTTTATCTCAAGCTTCTTGTGAATTCAGAGAGTAGACCAAACCAGAGAGCACTCACATCACAGATTTTGAAGCCTTTGTATAGTTTTTGTAGCTCCCTTCTAAAACTCTTTTCCCATTAAATTCCTACAGTGTAGAGAAGTGAGCACTGCAACGCTGGAATCCTTGACAGTGTAATCTCTTTGTCTGAATACAAGATAACAGGGAAAATTACCTTTGTACTTAACAGAGGCTATTTCGTATAAAATACCCCTATGAATCCCTAAGGAGAAAAAAAAGTGAGCACTCTGTTTCCAGAACAGTGTGAACTAGGCAGATGTCAAAGCATGTTTCTATTCGAATTCCAGTCCTTTTTGCAGTTATTAAATGACATATACATTAAAACTATTTTGAGTCTATAATCATATCTATCCCATGACCTCAAAACAAGCAGTTTTCAAAAGATGTTTCAAGATTACTACATTAAAAGACAGATTTTAGCTGGTTCAGAGACACTATGTATTCTCCCTGGGAAAGATTTCCACTTGTAAGCTACCCCGTAACTTCTCCCCACCTCCAAATACCCTTTCAGGCACCTCTTAAGAAATTTGATTGTAACTTTTGTTTCCAACTCCAGCCAAGTTTTGTACCACTGAAGTTACTAACTTTTAAGGTATGTTCTGATTCAAATTTCATAAATAATTAGCCATACAGAGAAAAGTGACAGGGAGAAGTACCACACTAGAGTGGTACTCTGAGTGCACTTTATACTGTGCAGTTATTCCCTAGGGAAAGTGTTATCACCTCATTATTTAATTTCAACGCAGAAATTTTTTAAAAATCCTAAATCTGATAGTAGTCTGATAGATTATAATAAATAGCTGGCAAACCAGATGAAAATAATTCAAGTCATACAAGTACCCATACACTTTCTTTGCTTCCTTCACAGAGGAAAGCATGCAGTGTTTTCTGTCATTCCAGACGACAATGTAACCATAATGGAAGCTCACATTGCCAGTCAACATCACATCTATTTTCTAAAGGCTGTGCTACACACCAAGTGCTATGCAGTTTTCCTGTATGAGGCAAGATACCACATGTTATAAGAAGAAAAAATTAGCTTTAGAAAAAATACCCCTATCTGCAACATAGGTTGTGTTAAACACTGGTAAACCACTCTCGCCAGAAAGCAAAGAAAACTTGCAATATTTTGCTTTATAGGTCTTGCACTAGACTTAAGTTCCATTGGCATAATTGATGGTTGGCCCTGTGAAGTATCTGTGTGACAACTCACCCCACAGGCCTGGCTAATACAACAGTCCAACAGGAAATACCAATTTTAATTCACATAAATATGAATCAGACCACAAGCACTTCCTTTGCAGTAATGGTCTACAACAGTACAAAATAACCACAGACACATGGTATTCACCTCAGAGATCAGCAGGTGCCTTTCCTTTGGGACAAAGCAATGGTTTAACTCCGTTACCTGCAGTTCAATTTTACACCTGCCCTTACCGTATCATAGTCACTATGGGAATACCCAAACGTAGGGAATTCTTCAATATCTTCCTGTGTCATATATTCCAACTCTTCCTTCGCAATCTTCTCAAAAACTTGTCGATAGACTGTAAAGAATCCCTGAAATAAATAGATAAATAAACCTTTTGCACAGCTCAATAACAGATGTACAAATCCTCACGTGCAGTGTATTTTAGAGAAACATTGCTACACTGTAAGAACAACTCAAAACCAGAGTAAAGGCCTTGTTAGCATTTGCTTGAGGTACAAGACCCTTCATAACAAAGTTCCACTATCTCTCATGCCTTTTATTTCCACCTTCTTCACACAGTCTGTCTCTCTCACACGTGTCATCAAATACAAATTTTAAAAGAAAAAAAGTATCCATATGCTGGAGATGGTGATAAGTTTCTAGTTACACAGGATCAAGTTTTGTGGAAGTTCCAGACATAAAATTCACTAGTAAAAATCCTATATTTTTCTAAATTAATATGTTACTAACTGACTACTAGTACAGTAACAAAAAGACAAGTATTTTCTCTGGTGGATGTTTTTCAAACCACTTGGAGCTTTTTAATATATAGTGAGCACTTTAAAATCCAATTGGGAATTCAAAAATCCAACATGAAATTCAATTATATCAAGCACATTCGCCCCAAAGACTGTTGTTACACTGCTTTTCTGTAGTTTTAAGCATTCTAGTTTGATAAAGGTATTTCTAAACAAAGAGATGGTATTGCAAAGCCATGGAATGCTTCACTGTGTAAGATAAATAAACAAAATGCACACATCTGTAGTTGTACGGCATAGCTGGACATTATGATTAAGTAACTGTTGGACAATATGCAAGAATTAAAGCTTCCTTATACATCCAGGGTAAGTTTTGTCTTAGATTTGTGTAAGCTGTGCTAACAATTCTACATATAACTTTAACACAAAACAAATGCCAACACTTATAATGGAATTTAAACTGATTCATTAAATATTAATTGATTCATTACCTTTTCATCATCCCCATATCCAGAGTAACAGCTAACAGTGAAGTAGTGCAGCAGATCTAAGCTATCATCTTGATAGTCTCCATCAACTCCCCCTTTCAGCAGAGCCTCCCTGTGATTATCATACCTGGAAAAAATTCACAGCATCAAGGATGTAGAGACACAGAACACTTCTCAGTGCTGATAAACTAACACAGTACACCTATCACACACTGCATACCTTAACCCACTGCCTGTAATTCGTCTCTCACATCCAAAGTCTTCAGAGAGAAAAAAACATGACAGACCCAGTAATTACTCCCTCTTGAACTTTACGTACTTTATCAGCAATATCTATAGCAGTAATTCGTCAACAGCCAGCTACCAAACAACCACATTTGAACAAGATGCCTCACTGAACTTCCAGAAAAGGGTAGGGCATTATTTAAATCCCCCAAATCATACATAAGCACATAAAAACTGAAAACACAGTCCTGTATTTTCAAGGGGGACAAACTCAGGAGAGGTGGGTTTGGCTGTGTAATCTGGAAAATCCTTCAGACACTGTGAAAAACAAGCTACGCAGAACATTCAGAATAGCAACCCCTTAGAGATGTGCACGTGTGTATTTCAAATTAGGACTGAACACCTCTATGCACTGCCCAAGGCCTGGGGGCTGGCCAGAGCTGCCCCTCAGAAGCTGCCCCGCGCTCGGGGAGGAGGAAGCAGGCCAGGCGTGGCTGCTGGCAGGGCTCCCCGGGGCCCAGCACGCCTCCAGCCCCCGGCACACCACGAGGGCGGTGAGCGTGCGGAGCTCTGCTCTTCCGTGGGGCTACACGGCTCTAACTCTTACAAAGCCTAAAGCCAGGCTCCTGCCCACGGATGCCCTGGTTGCCTCGCAGCGAGGAGGCCCAGGAGCAGCACAGCCAGGGCTAATAAAGCCTATGCCAGGCCAAGCGCGGCTCACCAGGCCCGTTCCTGTGGGTCGCTGAGCACGTCGTACGCCGCCTGGATCAACTTGAACTGCTCCGCTGCCTCCTCCGCGTTCTCGAGGTTTTTATCTGCACGACAATTTAATGAAACCGTGTCAGCGGCGGTCAGGCTCGGCGGCAGCAGCCGCCCCGCCGCCCCCGGCACCGAGCCAGGCGACAGCGCTGTGCCCCCGCGCCGTGAGGGGCCGGGGCCGGGGCCAGGCCCGGGCCGTACCGGGGTGCCAGCGCAGCGCCAGCCGGCGGTACGCCCGCTTCAGCTCCTCCTCGGCGGCGTCGCGCCTCACGCCCAGCACCTCGTAGTGGCACTTCATGGTGATGGCGGCGGCGGCGACCGGCGGGGCGGGGACACTGGGACACCGGGACACCGGGACACCGGGCACGGCTGCCCCGCGGCGGGAGGGGCGAGGCCGGCAGTGGGAGGAGCGAGCCGGGAAGGGAGGGACCTGAGGCGCGGTGTCGCCCGGCTGCCGGCAGCGCGGCGGGGTCGCTTCTCCCCGGGTTCGCGCGCTGCAACCGCGCGGTGTCAGCTTAACGGGATACATTCTGCTGGAATTCACGGAATCAGTGGGGGTGGAAGAGATCTCCGAGATCATGGAGTCCTACCCGTGACCCAATACCACCGTGTCAACCACACCATAGCGCTGAGCGCTGCGTCCAGGTTTTTCTTAAATACCTCTAGGGACGGTGAGTCCACCGTCCTTGGGCAGCCCATTATAATGTCTAATCACCCTTTCTGTGAAAAAATTACTCCTAATGTCCAGCGTTAACGTCGCCTGGCACGACTTAAGGCTGTGTCCTCTTGTCCTATTGCCATTTGCCTGCGAGAAAAGTCTGACCCCAACCTGGCCATACCTTCCTTTCATGGACTTGAAGAGAGCAATGAGGTCTCCTGAGTCTCCTCATTTCCAGGGTAAATACCCCTGCTTCTCTTAAGACCTGTACTCCAGGCTTTGTTGTGCTTCACAGCTTGGTTTCCCTTTTCTGAACTTGTTCCAGAACCTCAAAGTCCTTCCTGAACTGAGGAGCCCAGACCTGAACACAGGACTCGAGGTGTGACCTCACTAGTGCTGAGCACAGGGAAAGAATAGCTTCCCTAGGCCTGCTGGCCACACTATTTCTGAAATAGATATTTCTGGTTCCTGTGGGTGTTTAGAAGCTCAGAGGCACAGCCAGCACAGCGCACATTCTCAAGGGAGCTTTTTTTAAACCTGTGCTCTTCAGGAATTTTAGGGTTGGTCCAAATTGGTTTCCTTCTTACAAACCTAGGTCAGGTGTGTATTAGTGGGCACTACAAAAACAGAGCTTTGGATCAGACGGCAAAATCTGGAGGCCCTGATCTCACAGTAAAATCTAGAGATCCTAACCTTAATCCAAACATGGCAAATTGAACACGAGCCAGCAGTGCCGGGGCTGCCAGGAGGACCAACCCTGTCCTCGAGGCATCAGGCACAGCATCACCAGCAAGGGTGATGGGCAAGGGAGGGGATTGTCCTGCTCTGCTCTGCACTGGGGCAGCCTCACCTCCAGTGCTGGGGCAGTTTTGGGTCACCTCAACCTAATAAGGATATAAAACTATTGGAGGGTACCAAGAGGAGGGCAGCTTACATGTGGAGAGGTCTGGAGAAAAAGACTTGAGCACAGCTGAGGTGACATGACTTGTTCAGCTTGGGGGGGAAGGACCTCACTCCAATGTACACCTTTGTCAGAGGTTTTGGCTGTAATAGAGTCAATTTTCACCACAGTAGCAGGTAGGGAGCAGTGTTTTGGATTTGTGCTGAAAACACTAATGTTGTGTTGATAGTAACAGAAATGCTTGCATTATTGCTGAGCAGCGCTCAGACTCAGCCTTTTCTGCTTCTCATGCCACCCACCAGAGAGGGGTGCACAAGAAACTGAGAGGGGGGAATGCAGCCAGGGCAGCTCACCCCAGCTGGCTGCAGGGGTATGTCACACAACATGGCACCATGCTCAGCATACAAATGTGGGGGAAGAAGGGGGGAACATTCACAGTGACACATTTGTCTTCCTGAGTCACTCTTACATGTGATGGAGCCCAGCTTTCCTGGGAGGTGACTGCCACAGGACACAGTAGATAAATTCTTTGTTTTGTTTTGCTTCTGTGCATGGCTTTACAAAAAGCTTTGTTGTTTGCTAAACAACCGCTTTGTTGTTTGCTAAACAGTCTGTATCTCAACTCAGAAGTTTTCACTTCTACGCTTCTGATTATCTTCTACGCCCTACCAAGGGAGAGTGAGCAGGCAGATTACTCCCCCACAAACTCTATTATCTACAGTAAACAAAAAGGAACACCTTTTACTCTTAATTAATTTTAACTAACTAAAACAAAAAAACTCCCTAAACTATATTTTTTTCCCCTTTTCTTAATATTATTCAAACCTACTCTAAACTAAAAACCCAAAAACTCACAGCTATAACCCACTAAAACCTGGGCTGAGTTGCCAGCTGGGGTTAAACCACAAATGTGCCAGGGTAAATTGCAGTTGGACACCAAGGTTCTTTACACACAGGGTAAGTGATCATGGCACCAAGCCTGTCAAGTTAAAGAGGGTCTGGATGATGACCTCAATCATGACTTAGTGTTACTTAGTTCTGCAAGGAGTTAGGTTGGGCCCATGACACTGCTGGGGGTCCTTTCCAATGCAACTGTGTCTATTTATTAGACTGTGTGAACTGAGCACATGCCTATATATCCACCAGCCTTTCTTTCCAATCATATGGAACACAGACCACTTTGCTGCTCAAGCTATATGGGATTTCCCTCAACAGGTCAGCTTCCTCTTAAGCCAGTTGTGTCCTTTCAGCATTAAGATGCTGGAAATTGAAAACAGAGTAATCAAATAGAAACCTGGCACAAGCAAGATTTTGAAATACAAGAAAGTTTGAGGGAGTGCACAGGGAGACAAAACTAGTCAGTGGAAGAACCAGGTCACGAGGTCAGGAGCTGTGAACTAGATTAAAGGTTTGTAATAAAGAAATAGCACCAGAGAACTTGTCCAGAGAGGTTGTAGATGACCCATCCCTGAAGTGTTTAAGGCCAGGTTGAATGGGATGACATGTTATTTCTTAAAACGCAGAATCCCAGAAGAAAATAAAAGAATGCAAACTCAATGTTTATAAAGAAATGTATGTTTTGTTTACTTAAAAACTGAAGTTCAGACATGTTTGTCTGTACAATGTAAATTCAAATATTTACAATATTCAGTTGATATTGTATGAAGTTCCATCCCTTGTAACACCTATGCAGATCCTTCAGTTCTGAATAGCTTTTTTTGCTTCTTCCTCTGAATTTTACGTAGCTTCTTCTTATCTTTAACAATTGGCTTTGACTCTGGTTTCACAAGCTGTATTTCCACTGGCTTCTCTTCAGCTGGAGTTTCAAAGACCACTTCAGTAGGATCTTCTTCAACAAGGACCTTAGTCCCTTTTTTCTTAATCTTTTGCACTTCTTTCACTTGCTGCTTCTCTCTAAACTTAGCTGCCACTGACAATCTTATCAGCCGGCGATGCTATAAAAATAAGAATTTAAATTTCATCATATTTCAAATAAGCAAGATGGAAGAAATCTGGTATTAAAGAAACACATTCTAATTTCTCTGCTTAATCGTCAAGACCCTCACTGTAACATCATGTTTTCAGTTGACATGATCCTGCATTGATTTCATGATTACAAAACTACTCTGTTCTCAAACTGTCAGTTTAGGGGACTACAAAAGGCCATGGGGAAAGGCATACTTGATGCTCCTGCACAGACTGACTGCAAGGGTGGTTTTCAAATTCGTTGCTAAATGAAACAGAAAACAAAGACCGAGCTGCTTACCATATTTGGGGACTGGTAATGAGGATTTTCATATAGAGTTGGTCCTCCAAAGCTACCTCGGAAGATTTTTATTAGGTTCAGGACAAAACGAGGCCCAATTTCAACTAGAGATGCATCTTCTTCTATTATCTGCAACAAAAAGAAAACTTTCTCCATTTCTCACAGATTGAATCAAAGCATATGACCTTGCAGGCACCTTGCAATACACAACTGAATTAAAATCTGAGATACAGTACCTGATTAGCCAGATTTGTATAAACCCAGTTCTGTACATAAAGCAGTTCTTTGAAATTCAAGCAAGCTTTTGGAGTACTTGGTATTTGTGAATTCCTTCTACAGAAAGGTGGAACTTTGGGTCAAAGCAGCAATTTAGGTTAAGGCACAGTTTAGGCCTTGGATAGTATGCACTGTTACCAAGACATCCCTCACAGAATCATGACTCAGTGAATGCAAGTTCAGTGAAACAGATCTCTCCAGAGATATGGTATTAGGTAAATCATTTCAGAACACTGAATCTGCAAGCATTAGGGGCTGGTATATCCTGATAAGAGTAATAGTGATTATTATCTTAACTAATGGATTTGATATGAAATTACTCCACTGAGCTCCTTCTGAAGACCTAAGAGAGACCACTCACCTGGTAATTGCGAAACCAGATCCTTTCATCAGTGATGGTGAAGGTGAAAACATGATCAACAAAAGGCTGGCTTTTGGGGTGGTACTGTGGTGTACCAAATATCTGCAATAAAAGACAGTGTTTCTGAACATCTGCAGTTTAAGAGGTCAAATACAAATGGCCCAATTTCAACTCCTTTTAATTCATTAAGATCCCAAACCCAGGTTACATTTCATAACCCAAAACTTAAGAACAAATGTCTGAGTCTAATCGTAAGAATATGATCCCAATCCTTTGTGCTATTTTCAAAGTTCAGAAGTGTAAAACTGCTATTTGAAAAAAAAAACTTGCCATCTTCAAGTATGCCAAAAAACAGCCCCATTGAAGAAATATCAGACTGACCTGAATAAACAATTCTTTCAGCAGGGCATAGTGTGGCTCTCTGTCAAATATCTACAAAGAATAAAACTGTTACTTTACATACAAGGCTAAGTGCAACAGTCATGCAAGAAGAATGAAAACATACCCAAATGAAATAAAATCTGCACTTACTGGATCAAAAGACAAAAGGGGTCTTGAACCCCTTAAGCAATTTCCTGTCATCTTCAATTCAGCCAGTGTGTGAACTACAGTGATTAAAAAAAGTTATTACTTATAAAAAACCTTTCTGACAAAACAGCAAGAATACAAACATAATAATGTCCACCAGCTTACCATTCTGCACCAAGAATTTAGCAGAAGGTCCATGTGGTGTGTTTGAAAGCCTGCAGAAGACAGGTGGTAGGGAACAGAGAAAGAAAAATGTTAACAGCAGCCAGAAGACATGCTGGATTTCCACACTACATCCCAACCACTTATTCCTGCGCTGAAGTAGTTTCTGTCACTTCTATAGCTGTACTGAGTTCCTTTAATGCGCTCATAAACGCTTCTTTTCTAAATGATTTTGTAAAATGCTTCTGCAAACAGCCTCCAAAAGCTGGTCATGCATTGTAAATTTGCACTATCCACAGAAGTGCAGTATTAGAACAAATTTAACAAAGCAGCACTATTTCATGCATCTTCACTTCTACAACAGGAAACTTCAGCTAGAAATGAAGCATCTGCAGCTATAAACAGGACTGTAACAAAACAACATTTCCTTACCACATGTAGAGATCCTGTTTCTTCTTGGCTTCAAAAAAGATGCACTTATTGCAGTTTTTCATTTCACATACCTACACAACACACACCAAATTAGCTGTTTACAATCATTCTGAAGACTTTTTTTTTAAACTTTCTACATTCATCTCTAATATTTTCCTCTCTCTAAAATGCAAGTTCAAAAGCAAAGATCTTGTCTTATTAAATTACACCTATTGAAACCAAATTTTGGTGGTTTTCTTTGTTGGTTTTTTTGGGGTTGTGATTGTTTTCTTAAAATCTCACGTACTTACTACAAGGAGTAATAACTTCATTAAGGCTACAAACAACCTGATAAGCTCTCCAGCATAAAAACACAAGAGCAGGAGCTGAGACATGAGGTTCTAGGTTTAGAACTATCTATGTCCTACTAAATTTGGCTGGCTGCATATTTGTGTCCTGCATTGTTCAAGTATAAGCTGTACTACACCTTCTGCCTACACAGAAAAGCACATTATGCTGTATTTATTCAAGATGAAAATCTGTATCTAATTAAAAAGTTTCATTCTGGTTTTATTTATCAAAAGTCAACTTCGTGTTTAAACATGAGTGCTTTTTGGATAATAGCCATAATTTTCACCTATGAAGTAACACTGACCTTGGCTGCCCCTTTTCCTTGCACACTGAATTCCCAAAGAAAATAAAATAAAATAACACCAATATAAATCTTAAATTACCTCATTGATTACAAATAACTGGTCTTTACGGTCCATTTTAGTATCTGGAAGACAAAACCAACATTTACAAGGCTGGAAAACCAATTTAATACAAGAGATTCTTCTAACAGTAAGGTTTTTTGGAAAAAATTTACTAGTTTATAAATGCAAGGGTAATTATCAAGTTGCTTCTGTCATGTTATGGAATAAATAAACATAGCAACAAAACTAACTGTGCAGGTTTGAGACTGATGCCATAGGATTTCCCAGAAAATATAATGATGCCAACAATTGCTGTACGTGTTGGCTCAAAAAGTGCTTGTTTAAGATACAAGTTTCATCAAAACTCTTTTGTGCCACGTTTTTTTAAAATAAAAGAACATGTTCCTAAGAGCTCTTGGCTTAAAAGTATTCTCAAAGTATAGATGCTCAACCCCCACCTGCTTTAGAGTGAGGCATCAATGTCCTTAAGTCCTGCATTAGGTGTCTTGTCCTGAAATTAATTCCACGTGAGGAGAATATCAGCACTCGCTCCTTGTTTTTCCATTTGCCCTAAAAAAAAGACACGACAGTTATGTCGGAAGCTTCTAGCCTTAATACTGTTATAACGCAATAAAAATAAAAGTTTGGGCAGTAAATACAGAATGATACAGCACGAACCTTTGTTTTTATCTGCCCGCCCAGACAGAACCACGCTCCCAGCAGGAGTGGAGACTTCCCTACGAACAGGGGAGCACTGCTTTTACAGGAGGAACTGTCCTCATCCTGATCCACTCCCAGGCACGGCCTTTCACTCCCACCGAAATACTAAAAAGCCACGTGCATCACTTATTTTCCTGCAAAATGGGCTCAGGGGCAGCCTCAGTGCACAGCCCAGCTAATCCTGTCGATATTGCGAAACCTTCGTGTTTACACGCAGTACTTCACGTTTTTCTTACAAGCAATTACCGAAACCTTCCCCGTAGGATCTCTAAATGGAACAGGCTCAATTTCCATACAGCCTCTGTACACAACAGAATTGTCCAACTCTTTTAAATATTTCTGAGACTGAGCTAACACATCCCATCGACACCCGCCAGAACAGCGCTTTTCGCGCATTCCCACGAAAACAACCCAGTGCCACGTTTACTTTCACTTGCGCAGATATTATCAAGGATTACGAATAAAGCTCTCTGTCCCGGCTCAGCAGCCGCGCTCCCTCAGAGCGGACAGGAGGCCGGTGCCCCGGGCCGAGCGGCGGTACCTGGGACACGGGCGGCGGGATGCTGTATTCCTGCGGCGGGATGCCGTTGTTTTCCTGCGGCGGGATGCTCCGCTCCCGCGGGCCGCCCTCCGGCGCCGCCTTCCCCGCGCTCGGGGCCCTCCTGGCGCGCTTCGCCTTCCCCGCGGCCAGCGCTCCACGTTTCCTCTTGGCCGCCATCTGTCCCCACGCCATGCCGGGCTCGGTACTCGCCGGCCCCACTTCCGGTGTCGCGTTTCCTGCGCTGTGACCTCACTTCCTGCGCTCGCCGTGCCCGCGCTCCGCGGTTTGCTGTGCTCGCTCCCGCCCGCAGCGCTCCCGCTGTCCGGCCATGCCGTTCTCGGCGCAGCCGCCCGCCAGCGCCGAGCGCTACGCGCTGTCCGCCAGCCTGGACAACGCCCGGCACCTGTCCAGCCTCCTGCGGGCCGTGCACTTCCAGGACCACGCCACCTGCCTGGCCACGGCCAGCGGGCTGCGCGTCACGGTGGAGGATGCCAAGTGCATCCAGGCCAACGCCTTCATCCAGGTACGGGGACATGGGCGAGGGCACGGCTGCTACACACCTTGCACAGGTTACCGCCGCTGTCGCAGCACCGGGAGGACGAGGAGCCATTGGACAGGGTCCAGCGGAGGCCGCAAAGATGATTAAAGGACTAGGGCATCTCTGTTGTGAGGAGAGCCTGCAGGAGCTGGGCCTGATTAGTCTGGAGAAGAGATGACTGGGGGAGAATCTCGTTAATGCATATAAGTATCTCAAAGATATGTGTCAAGACGATGGTACCAGACTCCCTTCTGTGGTGACCATTGGCAGGAAGGAGAGCAGTGAGCATAAACTAAAACACCGAAGCTTCCCCTCAACATGAGGAGGAACTTCTTTACATTAAGGGTGGCGGAGCACTGGAACGGAATTCCAGGGAGGTTGTGGAGTCTCCTTCTCTGCAGGCATTCAAACCCTGGCTGGTTGAGTTCCTGTGTCACCTGCTCGAGGTGACCTTGCCTTGGCAGAGGGGTTGGACTGGATGATCTCCAGAGGTCCCTTCCAACCCTAACGATTCCATGTGCTCACCTGCAGAGAAGGGGAGACTTTGCTGGAACCAAGGCAGAAGTGCCTGAGCTGGCGTGGAGGAAGGGCCATGGTGAGGCTGCCCTTGTTTATGGGTGTCCATGCTGCTGCAGTTCCAAACCCTGCACCCAGTACATCCCTGCATACCTGACACTGTAGTGGGTTTGCACCCTCATCTAATGCATTGGTCCCTGCCAAGCTCACGACTCCTTCTGGCCATGCTGTGCTTAGTTGCACAAACAAGTGCTCATGAAATCCCTCTTTAAGTGTTTTTATAGCTCATCCCAAAGCCAAAAGGTTGGATTTATGTCAACTGTGAAAGAGTACAGATTCACAGACACTTGATTGAAAATGTTTGTGCTGTGCTTAAAGCACCCCAATTTTCCCTCTGGGCTGCCAGGAAAATAAGAAATTACTTTTCCAAAAGCAGCTTTTCCAAAATGCCACCATGCTTTGTTTCTGAGATTCTCTGCTGCTTTGTAGGTGCCACAAAGCAGTCAGTGACAGTGACAAACAGGATAACGTGGAGCAGTTTACCCCCATCAGGATAGTCAAAGGCAGGGTTCAGCACATATTTCAGAGTGCTGAAGTCACTGTCCTGTTCTGTAATGATGTACTTCTCGTATTTGGAATGTTTATTCGTGCTCTGAGAGTGAGAAGAGTAAGTATTGTTACTGGAGAAGAGTGATACGTTGTATAGTTCCCTGGATGTTTCCAGCTCTAGGAGTAAGAGGCTCTAGGCTTTAACGCTTGTGTCTTGTGCTTAAACCGTAGAAAACAAGTGTTTAGGATTTCATGTTTGTGCCATGCAACCTTGTTTCAAGTGTGGCCTGATTGTGTTTTCCTAGGTTTGAGGATGAAGACCCATTTTTCTATAGTTGATGCTGTGTTGCATGTAGGAATCACTTTGTATTGTACTGATTTCTGAAAGGGAAACTTCGAAGTGCAAACTAAAACAATTGCAGAAATTCCCAACTTTTCATCTCTTTGCTTTAACTTGCAGGCAGAAATTTTTCAGGAATTTTCTGTTCAGGAGGAATCGGTGATGTTCCGGATCAGCTTGGCTGTTCTTCTGGACTGCCTCACCATTTTCGGAACCAGCTCCTTGCCAGGTGTGGTATATTTTCCATGAATCCACGCCAGGCTGTGTGGACACTGCAGGATGGGTGCTCAGGTGGAGTGAAGTGATACCATGACAGCTTTCTGAGCAGTTCTACCCTCGCAGCTCTGCACTGAACTCCTCATTCCTCTGCGGGTTTGGTTGTGGCTGACCTAAAGATCTAAATCGGGTGTACTAAAGAGCACTGTGATTTTGGGAATCCAGAGGTTTGGGTGGTGATAACCTGCAGCATGAGGGTGTGACTGAAGTTTGGGTTGCACAACTAACAAGAGCAGTAAGGAAAGATGATGTGAGCCAGAGAGAGCCAGAATGCCAAGAGCATTTTCCAATTCCTCTAAACTATTTATAGCATGTCTTCATTGTCACAGCTGTTGTTTCCTGTCTGGTGGGTGAAATTATTTGGACTTGAGTTGTGTACAGACATAACTGCATAACTATTAGCATTTCAGAGGGTATATAGGAGGTAGCACTAAGTGTACTTCAGTAACGTATTGAAGGCTGGAACCAAACAAGGTGAATCAAATTGATCTGTTCCCCTTGTGCCAGAAAAATGTGAGTTTTCTAAAGTGGTCAAATGTCTTAGCTATGCTCTCTGTGGAATGTTCTCTTTTTCAGGAACATCAACAGCCCTTAGAATGTGTTATCAAGGCTATGGGTATCCCCTGATGTTATTCTTGGAAGAAGGAGGAGTAGTAACAGTGTGCAAAATCAACACTCAAGAATCTGATGAGTTGCTAGATTTTGATTTCTGCAGTACAAAGGTTGTTAATAAAATTATCCTGCAGTCAGAGGGACTACGAGAAGCATTTGCTGAACTGGATATGACCAGTGAAGTTCTGCAGATTACCATGTCTCCAGATAAACCCTACTTCAGGTACTAGAAACAGCTTTCATCTCACATGTTCATGCTTCACTTCCTTTGGTGAGGACTGGAAGTTTTCATGGTGGAGAGAGAGGAACTATTTTAGAATACTGGTTCATTTCAGGAAGAATTGTAATGAGTAATAAATGACAGTATATGCTCTAATTAACATAGTAATGAGTGTATTGACAACCTGGTAAATATGACACTGGTGTGGACAGTTTAGCAATTTTGATTAAATAAAGTGAAACAAACAGCAGTGTTTTGTGAAACAGTCATTGAGATACGTACAATGACTAATTTTGGTGAGTTTTTACAGAGCTCTCATCAGGTATTTTGAGATTGTGCTTTTTGCTTGCAGGTTATCCACTTTTGGAAATGCTGGAAGTGCACATCTAGACTACCCTAAGGACTCTGATTTGATGGAAGCATTCCACTGTACCCAGACCCAGACAAACAGGTTAGAAAGTCTGTGACTGATGCCCTCTATGCCAGGTCATGCATTCTTGCTGGGAAGTTGAAAAACTATTTTTGCATTACTGTAACATTTATTTTCTTAGTATGGGGACCAAAAATATTCTCCATCTGATAAAAGTCTGTGTCTGTAATCAAAAGCTAAGTGCTGACAAGGGCAATTTAATGTTTTCACCAAGTAAAGACCAAATAAGCATGTTCCTAATTGTTTTTTGTTTATTCTGGGTCTTTATTAATTACTAATGTTTCAGCTCCTCTTTGCACAATGTATTTTTCTCATCTTACTGTTTTTTCTCCTGCAGGTACAAGATTTCTTTGCTTAAACCATCCACAAAGGCACTGGCTTTGTCTTGTAAAGTGTCCATTCGAACAGATGCTCAAGGATTTCTTTCACTGCAGTATATGATTAGGAATGAAGATGGACAGATCTGTTTTGTGGAATACTATTGTTGCCCTGATGAGGACATCACTGAGTGAGGCAGAACTGTAGGTGTGTGTGTGCTGGTGTGTGTGTGCTGGCGTCTGTAATAATTTTTGGTTATATAAAAGATTATATTTTTTTACAAAACTAAATGAAAGCTGTAAAGTTTGATAGAGGTAATATTGTCTTTATATTTTAACTCTGGAATAAGAAAGCTGAAGACTTTCATTTTCTTCCACTGCAAACATTCTTAGCCTTGACTCAAACTAAAGCTGAAAAAGCTTTAGAAGGGGGAGTTGATGTCCTATAGACATCAGATGCTTCCAGCACAGATGTTAAAGTACTGTTTGTGTAATACATTGATGCTTTTTACAGTGTTCTCCAAGAATTTTTGTTTGTGTTATGTTTTTTGCCTTTGGCTTTTAGTAAGCAATTACACAAGGGAAAATCTGAATACTGGCTGTATGTTAGCCAGTTAACTTTCAGTGACTTAAAACCAAATTTGTCTTGAAAGAGAGCAACATTTTCAAACTGATCTCTTAATAGCAGCAGGTGGTTTCTTGTTGGCAAATGCTGACATGTTATGTCAGTGAAGCCACTAGGCTTCTCCTCATCTTGATTAATTCTTAATATAACTTAATTCCTTGGATTTCCATCTGACACCAATTTACCATTTTGTCTGCAAACTGATGTTGAATTGGTAAATTGATATAGAAGCCAGGATTTACTGACTCATTACTCATAACTGTTCTGGCAACATCATTGTTTTGGATCAGTGGTTTATTACACATCTGCAAGAATGCTGCAGCTGAACTGTTTCTGTATATTCACGTCCCAGCTCTTACTCTGCTGCTCTCTGCTGGTGATGTCAACAATCGTGAGAGAGAACAGTTTCATATTGAAAATTATTTATTAAATTAATTTGCCTTCTCTGTAGCCTTTTTCCTAAACTGCAGCAGGGTAATATCTGCCTGTGTCCCATGGAGCAGTGTTTTCAAATCACTGCTAAAAATGAGGCTGCCCTCATGCTCACTGAAAGCGAGTGTGGTTCCTGGGCAGTTTTCTGCCAGGAAAAGGATCTCACTTCCAGAACAGCAGATGGGTTGTGTTTAGGTCAGAAGTCCACTTGTCCTTTCACACCAACCAACCTGCTCAGAACAGGAGGTACCTGGGAGCAGCCAGGCACTGGACTGGATCTGCAGAGTCTGCAGATCACACGGAGAGACTGAGCCCTCCCTGCCTCTGCTGCGGGATGGGATGGAAGAGTCACCAATCTGCAGACGGTTTCTGCAGCTTTAGACTGCTGTAGTGTTTGTTGTCTGTCAGATGAGGTCTTGCTTTGTTTTCTATGGAAAACAGTGTATTCATATGTTACCAAGCGATTGCTCCACAATTCACTAAACTCTTTGGGTTTATTTTAAGTTTAAAATACTTTCGTGGAAAATTTTTCACCTCTTGCTTATGCCAGCAAGAATATACTTCTGGAATGCACAGTGTTAACCGTTGGCTTTTGTTGTTTTTTGTGCAAATCATCCATTTATTGCAATAAAGTTTACAGTAAAGTTGTTTATATATAACTTATAAATTCATATTTACAAATGAAATTTATAAACAATTACAATTTTTTTTTACTATGAGGCTGACATAGATATCTAATATTCTAAATTACTTTTATTCACTGGGGTTTTTTTTCCAAACTAAAGTATACTAATGACAAGTTTAAATGAACTTCGTTCTGGCTTGCTGTGTCAATTTCTTCAATGAAAAAAGTTACAGTCTCATTGGGAATTATTATTGCTGTCCCTGACTACTGAGTATCCAGGATGATTTACATAATCCCTGGATGACAGGATAAAAATGAAGAGCATACCACTTTCTTGGTGTGATTTATTTTAGAATATCCAACTTTCTTGTATTGTGTTCAGGAATTGTGGCTTAACATTTGAATTTTTATATAATTGCCTACAGATGTATTGTGTCTACAGATTTATTGTCTTGAAATAGTACTTTTGATGATTAGCCTACAAACATGGTCATGGAAGTAATATGCTAAGAAGTTAGAACACCACAAAATACCAGAAAATAACTTGCATTTAATAAATTGTTAAATAAATGTAAATAAATAAATATATCAAAGACACATATGGTTTATGCAGGACTTAATGTCTGTACCCCAAATAGGCTGAGTCCTGGCCTAGGCTCACAGAGGTAGGGGAGTGCTGGTGCATTTTTGATTTCATGGGTATGGTTTTAGGGAGACAAGAACATGAGAAGTTTGGGCTACAGATTTGGTGCTGAAAGACAGTGAGTTGATTTAGGCTTCATCTGTGATGTATTCGATTACATTTCTGCATTCAAACAGTAAAATAAAAAGGGTGGAGAGGAGGATGATGACTGGAAGGGCACTGCATCTTTTTGACCTAGTAAGTTACTTAAATTCTGCAGATATCCATTGCTGCATTAGCTTTCCTGCTACACTTTGCATGGGATCCAGAACTCAGGTTACCTTTAGTACATTTGTTTCTGCTATTTAACAAGACTTTACAGGAAACCTGCAGCAGAATAAATGTTCAGCTCATGTTTTCTTCTTTTAGTAGTATCACAGAGGAGGCTTGTAATAACTCAGATTTTGCCCCCCTGCTTTATTTTGAAATGGTGCATTCAAGTACTCAGAATTACTTGTCATGTGAAGTAAACCAGCTTGTGGGGTGGGAGCTGTGACCAGTGCCTTCCACCTGGGTTCAGCTGTGGTGGGTGCTGCCTGGCAGCTCTGATGGGCAGCACTGGGGGCTGGGGGCATCCCACATCCAGAGGCCACAAAACTGGCAAGTGATTTTCCCTACAATTATTTTGATTTGTGATTTTCAGAGTAGGAACTGACCTCAGGTCTTCAAGAAGGCCCTTCTTTGATTCTACCAGAAAACTACTGCCAGTAGGCCTTGGGTCCCTACCAGTGTTTGAAGATTCCAGAAGTCAAAATAATGCCTTTGGCTCCTGGTCTGACGATCTTTATGCAACAAAGCACCAACAGTGGTGGTACTACTGTTATCTCCTGCCTCCCAAAGTGTTCAATTTTTGTGTCTCCTTGGCTTTGTACAACGATTTGGATCTGTAAAACATAGAATTCCCCAGGGAGAATTCAGTTCTATACTTCTGTTTCAACGTTAGTGGTGGGAAAGAATCAGTTGTTTAGTTTTTATTTAGTTTAGTTGTTTATTATTGATTTACACGTGGATTTACAAGGAAATAGTACTCTTGTATACTTGACTAAATGAGTGTAGTGAGGTTAGTGGAGCAGCTGGAAGAGATGAAGTAAGCCATATGCTGTTTCTTGTAGGTGTCAGTTTTTAACCTCATTTTGTAACAGCTTGAAGAATCCAGCAGGTGGGTCTTACCAAAATAAATATAAAATAAATATATAGAACCTGTGTGTAGTAGCACTAAGCAGTGCTTTTGCTGAACATTAACATTCAAGAACAGTAACATTAAACTGAACAAATACCAGAATAATTTCTAAAATGTCACTTGATGCCTTCTTGTTGAGACAAAAACCATTTTTATGTGAATCGTTCTTTGAGGGGGCCAGGACTGCTTAGGTATAAATGGAAGAGGTAACAGATGGGTTCAGCCTCTTCTACCCTGCTTCTGCCCTTAGCCTTCTAAGGACAACAGGGCAGTGCATTAGCATTGCTACTGCTCATTGCAAGGGCTCTTCCAGGCAGAGTATTGGAGGGAGATGCATCAGGTGCCCCACACAGCTCTGACTTAATAGAGTAGTAGACTCCCACAGAAGTGAGAAGTGGGCTTCAATGTCCACCACGACTGTGAATGTCAGTCTGTGTGAGTATTTTGGAGGAATGTGTCCAAGGGAGTCTAGAAAGAGCTGCACTGCCCAGGAAAATCTTCGCATTTTTTAATACCATTGAAAATCTGAGCAGAGACAATGGGAATTTCACTCCCACTTCACTTTAAACAGCATCAGGTTTTGAGGTGGGGTAGTGGGTGGGGGCCTGTGTCTGTGTGTGGATTAAAACTCTCAATGGAAAACTGAGCAGCCTCCTACTTCTTCCAGTTCAGATGGGACCATGGAGCTGACCGAAAAAGAGCAAGTCAGCAGAAAGCTGGAGGTCTGAGATAAGAAATCTGTCTGAACATATGTTTGGATTTTACCCCGTAAATGCCAGTGCAGTGCAGTAATGGGTTTGCAACATAAGGGAGGAGTGGAGCCACTCCACCCAATTAGGCACTTGCACCCCTAGTCAACCAGAAAAGAAACTTAATCCATGAGACAGATAGCAGGTAACAAGCCCTAAGTTATGTCCAGGTGTTGGAAAGATAAATTACTTGTTGGCAGAATTGCCTTGTTAACCTAACCTTCAGGGAATGTCACACCTAGGGCGAGGTTAACAAAGCTCAGGAAGAAGGATGTACTATTGATAGTAGGTAGACAAAAAGAATGCAGAACTTTAAGGCCACAAGGACATATGGCAGAACTCCCAAGATAAGGAGGGAACTAATAAAGCCAACTCAGCAACTGTGAAACTGACTCCGACTGGGTAAAAAGAATTCCAGCAGGGAGAAATCATGACAGACTGAATCATGGTCCACCATGTCAAAAGAAGATGAAGACTGAGGGTGCAGGCTAATTAGCATAAGAACTGAATCATTAACCGATAGAAGATAAAATACTAATTAATAAGAGAGCTATGTCCCTTTTAGCCCATGAAGATTAATGCCTATGTTTGCTTATGTTGGGGAATACATCTGGTGCAGGCAGTTGTGTTTGCAAGCTTGAATTCGAGATTCAGATTGAGCTGAGGGTGGGACCCCTGAGAGAGATAAGAGGCCGTGAACTGCCAGCCCTGTGATTACAAAGGGTACAAAGCACAGGGAAAGCAGCCAGGGTGAGTGGACACTGGGGGACAGCAGAGCAATTGCAGACATTTTGGGTAACAAAATAGATGAAGAGGGGTGATGCCAGTAAAGTGAACTGACATGAAGAGGATGGCAGGAGCCGACTGGAGAGGAAGAGCTCCACTTGCACCTGGGTAGACGGCGAGAGTGTAAAATTCCCTGGGGTTCCTTTTTGGGGGTCCCTCCTCGGAGGCATCAGCACGAGCTGTTTCTGTGTAAGTGAATAAATGGCTTTGTGGAATGAGACGTCTGAGACTGCTTCATGGAAAACCTGGGGTGCAACCAGCAAGGTAACCTGGTCTGAGTGTGAGTGGAGTGTTTGGGGCATCAGCTACGGCACTGGGGGCTGTGAAGGGGCTTCGGTTTCGGCTGTGAAAGTCTGGGAATGTGACTGCCACAGAGGCTCAAGAATGGTCACACTGTGGAGTTTCCTTAACACCAGAATGTATTTAAAATAAAAAAAAAAAAATGTTTTGAGAGTTGGTGGGCTTGGTTTGTGGAATACCACTGAGCACCCAAGTTTGTGCAACTGGAATAAATAATCAGTGTTTCTCTTGTGTGTGTAATTAGTTGCCTGGTGCACACAATAAGCTGGCCAAACACGTTTACTCTCCTAATAAACTAGAGGCACGGAAGAGGTTCTGGAGGAGCTGGGGTACATCCAGGCTGTGACTGTGAGCAGTCACTTTCCGGAGCTCACCAAGGCTCCCAGAAAAGTTGTCAGAGAGGCACTGGCTGCACAAAGCTGTGCAGAGCTGTGCGCCCTCCTCTTCCTTCCATGCTGCTACCCAGCCCGAGTGATGCCGGTCGGTTTTAATTATGCGGATATTTGCAAGGGAACCACGCCAGACACCCACCGGCCAAAGCACCAGCGGAGGAAGCACTGCCAGCCTGCCCCTCGCCGGTGGTCGGACGGTGACACGAATTCTTCATGTGGCAGCAAGGGCAGAAATTCCAGAGACACTCTGAAAACCACATAGCCGCCCTCGGGCAGCGCAGGGCTTGGGGACACAGCCGCTCCCAGACCCTCCACACACGTGCAGGGGACAATGCAGGAGCAGCAGGACCGGGCAGCACCTCCAGTCTCCCCACCGGGACCTTCCTGCAGGCACCTGGCTCTGAAATAGTTGTGCAGGTACGTGTGCGCCGGGTCTGGAACATCTATCCAGCTGTTCTCACACCCAGCTGTGGCCCCACCAATTGCTGACCACAGCGCTGCTTTTTTGTGAGCTGCACTTTGGACAGCAAGAATCCAGACAACCTACTTCTAGGAATGGGGCAGTGCAGAACTTTGTGCTTTGAGTTGTCGCTCTCCAGAGTTTTCCAGCTGCGAGGGAGGCTCCGAGAGGAAGGAATGCCAGGTTTCTTTCTGAGGAATGTTTTGAGGTTTTTTCTTTTTGTCTGGAAAATGCAGCTTAATCCAGCACCAGACGTTTTGGGGGATGACTACTGGTGGGCAGTAGAGTGTTTACAGAGAAGCAAATGCATCCAAACATTTTGGACTTCTGAATGTGCAGCAGGTGAGGACTGTTGCTGCTCTATGGCAGGGAGTGCAGGAGGAGTGCTGTGGGCCCAAGCCCAGCATCACTAAGGAGCATTTCTGCTAATCCCGAAGGGAAAAGTGACTACAGCGGAGCAACAGCTTCCCGTACAGGCACACTGGAATTTTGTTGCAGACAATGCCATCTCCTGGGTACCAGCTGCAGCATCCCCCGGGCAGGGTTAACACCAGCACACCGTGAGCAGCCCGGCAGGCAGAAGCAGACGGCCACCCGCGGGGACAGGGGCAGACGGGCTCCAGCCCTGAGCTCCTTGCAGGAGATGATGTCACTGAGATGTGCCTGCTTCCAATCTCCAGCTGCTGGTAGGAGGCCCCATTACCAACTGTCTGAGCATTTCAGGCTGTTGGGAAATGTACAAAGAGGGCCAACACTGTGAATCTGGACAGATCAGCATGTGAGCAGGCTTTTAAAATAATAGACTGAAAGCCTGAGGATTGCATAAATACCCGTGTTAAACTCATCAATTAAAATTAGTCAGGGCAGCCAAAGGTTTGTAAATACCTACAAATGCATTGCCATAAAATGCCTCAGAAACTATGGGTGGTACCACAGAATAGACTCTCCTGAAGCCACCCACGGGACTGGGGACTGGCATCAACAAGGCTAAAAGCACAAACCTTTGCTGCTTGTGCAAGGGCAAAATATGGTCATCAGAGGAGCTGTAGGTTAGTGACAGTCCATGCAGAATGCTACCAGCGTGTCTCATGTGACAGAGGCTGTCATTTCTCCTAGAAAACATTTTGTTACACAGTACTGAAGCCAGGGGAATCTAACTAACAGTTGCTGGGCAAAGCACATGACTTTCTCACCAGCAGCAGACTTGGCTGGTAGATCTGCTCTGTAGTTACAAAAATTTTAACTCAGGCTTCCTCAAAATAGTAGACACTTACTAAATCATAGGTTTTTATTCAGCTCCAATTTACGACTGCAATTGTAAGACAGGGGTTTTGAGGAAATGACTGTTGAGGAGAATGAATTTGTTACTGCCCTGAGAAGAACACAGATATAAAAGCAAAACAAAATATGGTTCTAGTCTGTGCTCAGTGTCTCTGTTACTTATATTCAAAAGGATCATGAAGGATCCAAACAGAGAAGGAAGCAGGGATGAAGAAAAGCATTTGAAATTTCACTTCTTTGAAATGCTGTGCTGAGAATTGGTGAGCACCCACGAGCATGCAAAGCGACCTATTGCTGCAGAACCAAGTGGTGTTATAGATGAAGGTTTCAAGATAGTCAAAACTCTTGTATACTGCGCTTTGACATTAAAGTCAGTACTTTTAGTATCCTCTGTGGCAGACCAAACCCACAGTTAATATATGATTTTGGGTCACTGAACTGTCCTAAAGTCTTGCACAAATTTTTATTTGCTTGGAAAAATTTGCTGTGTTAGAGCTGTGCCTGTGGAACATGTGCTGTGGTACCTCACATCTATGCTACTCTGAAACCTCCACACCTAACTCCCCCAGAGCTTTTCCACAGTTACTCAGCAGGCACAGCTGCTCTGCAGCCTGGGTCCCGAGCAGCAGACTGAGGCCTTGACCCCCAGACAGCCAAAATCACGGGAGATCCTGCACTGGGAGGCCTGACCACACCACCTGAGACAGCCATTCTTCCCTGCAGCTATTGGGTCTCTGCCACATTTGAGAGCAGATTGCCTCTGCCTTCTGTGTCTGCCTCTTGCTCAGATGAGGGCTGGCACTGGAGTGAAGAAAGCCTCAGGATGCTTTGGTGGGGCTGACCCAAGCAAAGCCTCCCTGGGGAAGGTCAGACAGGCAAAGGGCAGGACATGAACCCCCTGCTCTAGTGCCATGAGCCAGCTCTCCCATGTGGTACCCCAGCCTCTTGGCTTACCCTTCCCTCTTCTGCACACTCTAGGCAGGTACCCCCATCCTGCCAGACCCCTCCAGAGAGCAGATTTGTGGTCTAAATACAATTTACATACTGCAGAAGTAATTTATGTAGCGCTGAAGCACCTAGCACTGAAATCACATGCCACCCACCTATTTCTTCTCAGCCAGCTACTCTCAGGCAAACTCACAGGACATGAAGTGGGCTTTAACAGCTCCGTATAGTGAAATGGCATCTGCCAAGGGATTTCCTGCCAGTTTCTCCACTGTCCGTTTCTTGGCAGCTTATCCTGGAGCCCTGTGTGTGGTTCACTGCAGCACAGATCAGCGTGGTCTTCCCTAGGCTTTTGCTGTCTTATACTGACACACAGCTCATCATCACCATGCAGCTGACCTGAGGAGAGGTGGGAATGCAATCAGCAGGCCATTCTACCATCCCTGAGGCCCCTGCTCAGCCAGCATGGGGCAAGATTGGCTCTCTATCTGTGCCTCCACCCATGAGGCTCCAGCAGGAAGTCTGCTATGCAACGTGCCCAGGAACCCAGACTCATCTCAGAGGATAATGACCCCTGTGCTCAGGTGTTGGTTATGTGCCACTATGTCTGCTGCAGCCAAAACATCTATCCAGCAAGGGACCCAGGGCACACTGAAAAAAGTTGTCCTCCGTTTGCTGATGAAATCTTCTGGGTTTTCACCCTCCACCAACTTCTCATGTTGATTTGGGTTGGCAAAAGAAGGGCCCTGTGAGAGCCAGATGATAAATAACGATGGCAACACCTGCTTACAGGAACTTACCCTTAGTTTACACAGCAAGAGAAAGGGAAAAAAGTTAAAAAAAAGAAGCAAAATATGTAGATCTAGGATGTTATCTCCTCCCAACTTCCATCTAACCTGTTACCATCCCTTGTCACTGTAACAGGACAAAGGATGGCTGAGAAGAGACACTATGCTCAAGCTCTCTGACTAAATTACATCTGTGGTATGCAAACTGCAGTGAGTGAGTTTGGCAAGAGGAGTTTATTCCCAGTACTCATACGTTTAGTGGAGAGACAGAAAGGAATTCGCTATAAAAATGTTGCCCATGCTGTTATGACTGACCATGCAGGAGGCCAGAAGCAGGTGTGGATGTTTCAGAGCAGCAGGTTAGGCAGACTCTGCATGTCAGCTTGTCTGTCTTCAAAGGAAACCCAGTGCTGGGCAGCTTACAGAAATTTGCTACAAGAGGCTAAAGAACTCTAAGACGTGATCACAATAGATGCAATTCCTTCAGGAAAGAAGATACTAGCACATCAATCACTGATGGAACAGTTTCTCAAATAAAACTGAGAGGAGATGATAAAAGACAATGGGGCTGACTGTTAAAAAGCCAACATATCCATATATCCATATGGATATACACTTACATACCTTCTCATTGTAGTTCTGTGTGTGAAGTGCTAAGTGTCAGAGAACCACTTCTGAACAACTGTGGGACATCACTGATCTGTGCTACAACTGTAAGGTATTTTAAACTTAAATAAACTTGAGTAAATCCAGTGGCAAATGAGAAAACTGGGTTACCTCTAGCAGGATTCCTATGTAAGAAATGGTTATGAACTTATCAATGAGATAGAAGGCATCATCTGCAAAACTCACTGTGTGGGGTTTGGACTGGATTTATTCCACACAACAGATCGAGACAGTTAATAATGAAGATGCAATTTCAGGGAGGAAAACCTAGTTCTTGTGGCATCCATTTAAACAGGAGATACAGAACACATCTCTAGTATATTATAACAGTGTAGTGAGATTTCCCTCAATATAAAAAGTAAATTAAGACAAAAATGAAAAAAAAATTGGAAATAGTTTATTTGCTGCATGAGGAAACTTCTTGTAAATTACATATAAAGAAACTTGTTATGTTGTAGTATATAATTTCCAATATTCCACAAAGATAATTGTAATAAATATACAAACCAAACCAAAGTAGAAGACTAAATCCATCAGGCAACCTACAAAATGGTTCATCAAGTTTTATACTTGCAGCATTAGCATGCTTAAAATTTTGTTCTTTTTGAAGTGATGCAGCAAAATTGTTTTCACATTTCTTTGGAGCATTTTCAAAGCTGTCTAACTATAAAATACTGTTCAAAATTAGACGGCATTAGTCAAACCACTCAAGAAAAGTAACATCAAGGTCTAACTGATGCAAAGGTGGTGGTTTTCTTTTTGCTTTTAAAATCCTTTAGCTTTGCCAGAGTTAGGAATTATCTGATATAAGTGCACTATGAGTCCAGTCAGCCTGAGGCACTGCTGACTCCTGTCATATTATGACTTATATAAACTTCATAGATTATATAGCTCTGAAAGATTTCTCTATTAATAGAGACATATCCCCATAGAATAAAAAACACAAAATACCATATTGAAGCCGCAAGCTTGTTAAAATGGTTGTACCCTCAAGTGCAGTGTCTGCTTAAATCATTTTTCCATAGTTCCATTCTATTCCACATCAGGCATTTTTATCTGACTTTAAATGTAGAAGTGCTGATAAAGGCTTTATTGATGCCCCTAGCTTCTAGAAACAACATACAGATTTTTTTTCACACCTCCTGCTGTTCTCTACCTATCATTTCTATATTTTTTTGGAACAGCAGGCTGAATTTTACACTTCACTGCTCTGGACCACACTGACAGACAGGTCTATTCCATACAAATTTCTTACAAACAGAAAACACTTCACTATGCTTCACTATTACTGAATACTTGGGGGTATAAAAAGAAACTCTCTAAGACACAATTACCTAAAAATATTTGTTAATAAGCTTAATGCAAATATTATGTAGAAAAAATGGTTTAGTTACAAAAAAATTCATTAGAGGGCCAGTAAAAATATACCGAAGAGAAGATCTTTACAAAAGTGAGGTTAGGAAGTATGAGGCATTGACATTCACTGTAAACATCCTGTGTTCACTAGAATCCCTTGTCTAAAAGTATATGACCTGGTTTTGTTCCTGAGCTTCATGGCCAACGCTTGCATAGACAGCTAAACCTATCATAAAGGGCTGTTTATAGAGACAGTTCTGTTTGTACATAACTTCAATAAACTAATGCTTTTACCTTTTGAAATAGTTTCATTCCACTACCAGGTAGTTAAGGAAACTATGAAGTATGGTATGGGCTTCGTGTACTCAGTGCATTGGGTGAATTGGGGCAGCTACACTTTAGTGTGTTAATCTTAAATAATATTACACCAGGAAGTGTAGCTGTTGGATGTTCTGGCTTAGCATAAATATCTACTCCTGCTCTCTGCTGCAAGGTTAACTTCTGCTCTGCCAAAGACTGCATATGGCAAAATGCAGTCAGCAATCTGAGTGCTGCAGCATCAAAAACACCCAGTAAAGATGCAGCTTATAACCAGAACAGAAGACCTCACAGAGAATTTCACCTTTACCCAGGCAACACCAGTGCTTTCCTCCAGGTTAACCTGCTGCTGTTGGAGGAAGCTGGAAAAGTACTCACAGGGTAAACATGACATGGAGTGGCCTATGTAAAAAGACTGAAGAGCATACTTGCATTTTGAGTATGAAAAGCAGGCATGTGTTTAGCTACTGCACATGGAAATGGTACAGACAGACAAATATATCCCCCTCACAAACAGCACAATAACACAAAAGCAGCAAATCGCCAATTTCAAATCTTATGTTAAGGCAAATCTAGATAAAACAACCATAGTAGGATTAATAAAAATAGGGAGTTTTCCTTGGCTTTTTGTTTACTTTTTCTGTGATTGGCTTTTACACATTGACAAAATTTGTTTAAGCACTTTCTGGACATCTTCATCCATTTGACCCTAGACAAAGGGAGAGAGAAAAAAAGATAATTGAATTCATGCAGCTCTAGTCTTAAAGAATATTGACAAACTGTTTTTCAGGTACAGTAATTAGATCAATTTCCCAAGTGGAAGCAGTCTTAAATTTGTTCTAGAACTGTCAGACCTTATGAGACCAATGTCTTAGTGAAAACATGCAAAATTCTTACTAGATCTGCAGAAGATATAGCTTCAGTTAAAATACTAACACTGAGTGACTGGTAACATGCAAGCATACCTGCACAGCATAGAGAAGGTGCATCCTGTAAACTGAGACAATTTCCTGGTGCTGTTTCTTTGTTTCCTAGAAAACAGTTAAGCAGATAGGCACAGAGGATTCAGAACAATGGAACTGGAAACTCCTCAACTAGATTCTACGTAGTCTTATGTAATGCATTGAAAACCAGCTCAGACAGTGTTGTGTCACCAGGCACTCTAAATTTGCTTGGAAGCATGTCCAGGAAAATGCTGTAGTTCTACCTGCCCCAGTAAGTTTTAAGAAGTGCTGTGCTACAAAGGTGTGGAATGAGCACATACTCTATTTCCAAGCTTATCAGCAACCAGAATTGAGGAACTCTGACAAATTAACTCTCAACTGCAACTCAGCTCTTCCCTGAAGGCAGTGACCCTGATACCTTAGGATTTTAGCTTTTCTGTTTTTCAAATCCTGTACTGCTTTGGGGTATAACTCTAAAACCCCATAGCTTGTTAGCTACTGTTCTCCTATTATATTCAGACAAAACAATACCTCTAATCCTACAACTCAAGGACACCCTACTGCCTCAGGCCCCAAAAAGTATAAACAAAAGTGAATTGGGGGGAGCAAACTGGGGGTATATGGCTTCATCACCTGAAGCTGTAATTGGAGGATTAATCCCTGATATGTAAATGGACCAAACTTATAATTGTCTGAAAAACTCCTGATGGTTGTCCATTTTGGGTATATCCCTTTGGGGAAGTTTTGTCTGCCCTTAAATACCTGAAGGCCCTTCATTAAATATATCTGCTTTTATTCCCTTAATTCCATCTGGCCTCTGTTTTTAGGTGAGCTCAAAAAAGGCATCAACCCCTCTGTCAGAGCTGATGCCTTCCCAGGTGAAAGGAGGTGCTTACAGGGGTCCTGCCCTGTAAGATCCTGACCTAACGAAAACCACCCAGTGCCTTTCAATAATCACAGACTGCCACAACTCAGAAGCCACCTTTCCAAAGATACATGGAGCTGTTAGGAAAGCTAACCTACCAGAAGGAAAGAGTGTTTCTGTCTTGTTTTAAATGCTACCTGCTTTCCCAAAGTGTTGCACACCTTTGCACTACTGTGCTTGTCCTAATTAGAGGGAGATGAAGGGTCCTTTCAGACATGGAGGACTGGAATAAGAAAGTCTGGGCCTCCACACCACACTGACAGGATGCTCTGCCTACTATTTCTCCTGCCTGCAAGGGAATTTTTCTGGCATACTAAGCCCTCATTTTTTTCTGCTGTGAAAGGTAGGAAACAGACACCACTTAGCATGTCAGTCTGGCAATTCTCCTTTCAGAGGCACTCCAGAGCCCTCAACAAAGGCCTCCAGTGGACAATACTTTCTTTTCGTCCTCAACAGTGAATAAAGTGCTCCTTTGGACAGGCAAACTACAGGAAATATCAATTATGACTCAACCCAGCTTAGAAGACTGGACCTTTCATACACAAACAACAAAATTAGAAAAAAAATATGTATTCAGAATTTCAGAGAATAAACTATGCTCCCCATAAACAGATGCATTTGCTTGACTTGAAACCTCACGCTTTCTTCCAAAATGCTTAAAAATCCAAATCAACTTCATCTGATGAATGTTCTTGAAAATCCTCTGCACACTGGTCATACTTTTCCACAAATTAAGGTCTGAGCAGCAGGTTTGGTCACTGCATTTTACTACAAGAAATCTGCTTCTGAGCTGGTCTGAGAAAAATATGTGGAAAACCAGCTTTCTTTAGTTACGCTCTTTCTAAAGTGCTATTCATGACTTGCAAATTCCTACATGTTTCAGAGAAACAGAAATGACAGTCTTTTTGGATGAAGATTCTTCTCCATGTACTCACTGACTGTACTCTATTTTAAATAAGGCAAAATGAAGAATAGTACATAATTCTTTGGAGAACTGGGACTAATGCTAGGTTTACAAATTATCACACTTACAGTCAGTTGGTTTTGTAACTGCTTCACTTGTTGCTGTAACACCTCCAGCTGCTGGCTTTGTCTTTTGGGGGCACTGGTTGAGTAGGAGAGCTGAGAAAGGCTGTTCAATGCTTCTTTTAATTTGCTAATTTCCTTGGACATTTCATTGATCTAGGGAGGCAAAACAGGTTTTCATTAGAAGATGCTATGCATACTATATTCCTATGTGTCTTACCTTTGAGTTATTTGTGACCTAAATTTAAGAAGTGGGGAAAACCAAATTGTAAATAAACTCTGTGGACAAACAGAGATGTCACATAAGCAAAGGGTTACAAGGCTCCTCTACTCCCCATCCTAGTCCAGTCTATTCAAACTGCATCCCTTGTTCTGAACATCAGCAATATTTAACAAGAAGGGCTGCACTTACCACCCTTACAAATTCTGCTGCTGAACCAAACACAGGCCAGCTATCACAGCTACCAAAATGCACAGCTTTTTATAAAGGAATTTGTAGTGAAAATTAGTCAAATCATACTATGGTTGAGATGATGTAGTAATATCCCAACAGTGAATTTTTGCTCCTTCCTGATATTTCGTTTTCTTGCCTCCTCTGGAATATCTTCCTGCTGTAAATCTCACTTCTTTGACTTCTGTTGCCTGAATAGCGTGAACCCAAACTAAGCATAACTTAAAAGAGGGAAATTGAAAGATCATGTCTATCTCCACAGTGCAGTGAAACCAAATGCAAAGCCAAACACACCGAAAACTCCTTTGCCTTTGATACCTGGATTTTCAGAGGGGCAAATGCACTCAGAAATTACTTGAACCAACATTGTCAGGTCACTTGTGCACCAGCTTTGCACTCTGAACTCGCATTACCCCTCCACTGTACTGAGTTACTGACCTTTTTGTCTTTATCTTCTTCTAGTTTTGATGAGTTTTTCATTTCAGTAAGAGCTTCTTGAACTTGGTGGTACTTGTGCTGAAGATCAGTCGTCTCCCGTTCCTTTGCTTCAAGCAGACCATGCATACCTTCTTTTGCTTCTTTCAAGTGCAAAATTTCATTTCTCAGTTTCATGGCATCTAAGGATACACTTTCCTTCTCTCGGATTACATCCTTCAGTTTGGATGACAAAGCACTAATTTCACCCTCTAGTGAGGACTGGAGCTTTTCATACGTGGCCTTGGGTACCATGGCTTCATTAATTGCAGCTTTTTCTTCCAGTAATGCCTTTTCCAAGTTTCTTAATTCACTTTCCTTGTTGCTAAGCAGTCGTTTGAGCTCATTTATTTCTTCCTCCATCTCCTTTATGGTATTTCTGAGTGCATTGATTACCTGACGGTGTTCAGTAATTGGCAAAGAGTTTTGTTTCTGAGTGTCTAACAGTTGCTTGAGTTCTTCTGCTTCATCTAATACTTTTGTGTACTGGGATTTAATTTCTGATAACTCATTTTCTGCTTTGTATTTCAAAGAATTTGTTACCTCCATCAGTTTCTCATGTTCATCTCTAGGAATGTAGTCTGAAGCTATATCATCTAGGGTCTTTTTCTTCCTATAGTCTTCAAGCTCCGTTTGTGCTTCTTTGTACAACTGAGACAATTCACTAAGTTGCCTGTTGAGCTCATCTATCGTTCTGTGCATCACATCTTTCCTTTCTCCAGCTTCAGCACCAGATTCCAACTGCATCTGATTTGTCAGCTTGTCTTGTAGCCTTTTAATTTCCTCTTGCCCTTCCTTGTACCTCTCAATCAGCAATGCTTTCTCTTGATTAATGTTATCAATAACTGAACAATATGAGTTCTTCATTTCCTCACATTCTTCCACAGACAATTTGCCTGCCACATTCTGCTCTCTGTCTTCAAACTTTTTCTGTAGCTCTCTCACTTTTTCTTTTTGTCTTTCGCTTTCTTCCAATGCTTTCTTCAACTCTTGTTTAAGTGCTTCAACTTCTCCATATGTAACCTTCAACATACTCAGATCAGAATTGGTTTCTTCACTTTCAGAGGAAACAAGACCTGGCTTCTTTTGCCTTTGTATGTTCAAAACATCCTTCACAGCTTCCTCATGCCTGTTTTGAGTTTCTTGGGAGTTCAAATTACTATCAGAACCATTTTCTGAAATGTCTGGGCTATTTAAGTAATCTGCTTCTGGGACTCTAGAGTGGACTTGAGTTTCCACATGCTTTCTTTTGGTTTCAGAATTCTCTAATTTTCTCTGCACATCCTTTAAGTCTTCCTGGAGGTACTTCATTTTTACTTCTCTTGGGCTTGTCAACTTTTCTTGGATTTGAATGGCATTTAATGTAGGCTTCAGCTCCTGTGCCAAGAACTCACTTTGTCTCTCTGCTGTTTGCTCAAACGGTGTTTGGGTTGAATAAGATTCTACAGTTGAATCTCCTTCTTTAGGTGTTCTTTCCTGTTCAGAAAAACAATTGCACAAAAAAACCCAAGAACATTATTGCATATTTTTAGAATAGAGTAAGCAAGGAAGTACTGCCACATCCTATGGAGACAGATGATTTAAGAGCCATGGAAAAAAGTTCTAGAAAGTTCAAAACTCAGCTGCTCCCATTTGTCATCTGCAGTGAGAGAGGGCAGTAAGTGCCAAGCTCCTCTGAAAGTCTGGACTGAGCTCCATAAGCTAATAATCAAAGCTATGTAAATTAAAATTCTGCTAGCACAACTATTAACAACATATTTTAGAATGTAGATATCATAATAAACCAAGTTATTCAGTAATTTATGGGAAAAGTGAGAAGATCAAAACACTGATTTAATCCTTTGGGGCAGAGTGTTTTCATGATCTTACCAACAAGCTCGTTAAAAGATCATCACAGTACAACTCCTTAAAGCAGTAAGCAGCTCTTTGTTCTGCCTAGCAGATTAAGAGAGCATCAGAACAGCACAAAAATATGCCACCTGTAATTTGTCCTGCAGCTCCTTGTTGTGCAATGTCAGAGAGGCAATTTTTGCTTGCATCAGCAGAAGTAGATCTTGTTGGTCAGCTTCAGAACTCACATCCAATAAACTATCAGCACCTTTAGAGAAAAAAAAAAGATCCAAAAGCTTTCAAAAAGCTGAAATACTAGTGAGTTAGTTATTCCAACATTTCAAATTAAACAGTTTGTTCCCATGACAACTAAATGCAGTGAGCATTATAACTGTTTCTACAAACTCCCCAAGAATGTGTTAATGCAATAGAAGCAGGATGTTTTGGTGGGGAGCTGCTTGTGGAATTACAAAACATCATTATCAATAGTTAGTGTCTCATGTTTAAGTGGAAAGGTACAGAGGTTTTCAGGATTTCATGCAACACCTAATGAGATAAGGATTAATTGTATACCTGTTGTGCTGTCACTCAGTCTTTCTTTATTATCCCTGTGCAAGGAGCTGAATTCTTCCTGCTAAGACATCAAAAGAAAACATTTTCATGGAAAGCAGATGTAAAGCTGGACAGTTCATCAAAAAGAACTACAAACAGCATAGATTCTGCTGGATAAAGACTGTCCAAGTGGATGTCTTTGATTTCTGAGGTCTTGTTTAATTGTATCACGTATCCAGTATTTCTAAGTGTGTTAAAGACATTCAAGTTCCATTGCCCAATTCCCATTAAATACTAATGACATACAGGCAACTATCTTGTAAATAGCTTGGAAGACTGCAAACCCTGTGATAAGTAATAGCAATATACAGACATGTATTTATAAAAGTCTTCAGCAACACAAGGTAAAGATCAGATAGAACATACTCAACCCTTTCACTGACACCTTTTGGTAAAATGGTCTCTTTTTGCACTGCTCAATTCCATGCACTTTGCTGGTATTAGAAATTGAAATCTTGGAACATTGATACTTTCATAACTGTACTCCTAAACACTAACTCACCTATGACTGTGTATATGTACATATTTGTTACACATTTAAGTAATCTTTACACTTGTTTTATTAATTGCACTGAAATAGATTTGGATTCATTTTTGTTCCTAGAATTCAGCTAATTAAGTCACAGGAGACTCTGCAGTCATCAAAACAGAACATCAAGCAAAACATCTCTTGTACTTTCCTTCCCCAAGCTCATAAGAATGGAACAGTGATACCTTGCACACTTGATCAGCAAAGAAAGCCTGCCCTTTTCCAGTCATGGCAGTTGAAGTCGATGAGTATGGAGAGGACAAATCATTAACCTGTAAAAAATTTTATATATATAGCTATGTATACATATGTTCATACACAGCTACCTCTCTAATATGTACCCATATATATATATATCTGTATATGTGTGTATATCTATATATTTATAATCTGTATACACACACACACATATATATATATAATTCATACACATGCATTAAAGAGTACTTTCATCTGCACTAACATAAGTCACAATTCTAGATAACTTTCAGAGAACAGACCTAGTTATTTAGCTTAGTGCCCTTCTGAATCAGTATTACATAAGGAGTGTAGCTATTACACAGGTTACATTCTGGTTTAAGATTAAACCTATTATATAGACTTACAGAGCAACAAAATGCAGTTAAGTATTTTATTTTGATATGCATATATGCTCATAATAATATGTATCGATATGTATAACCAAAATATAAAGAATTTACTATTTACTTATCGAAATCAGCAAAAAGGAAAACTTCAACTTTAGTTGGAAGAAGCAATTGTACAGTAAAATTTGTACAGTAATATCTTAGACCATGCTGTATTTTAAGCAATTTTGTTTAGTTAATCTAATAATGTTCATAATTCTAATAATGTTCAAAATGCTTTATATCCCCTAAAAGCATCTCAAAATTGGTCTTTGCTTTACCTGAATAGGACTGATAGGAGGAGGTGGGGCTTTGCGTTTTTTTGGAGTTCCACTTCTTTCTGAACTTAATTTAGAGCCTTGATCATGCTGAAAGTTTCACCAGCCAGAAAAGGTAGGTTTGTTAGTTTGGTTAGTAAAGTCTGAGCAAGTTGTTTTATATATATATAAAAAAAATTAATCCCACATTAATATCAACTTTAGCAGCTCATGCAGTGCCTTCTCCCCCCTATGTAAAGACAACATCTCTACTAACACAAAGATATTAAACATGCCTGACAATAAGAATCTGCTCCCTTGTAAACCATGCTTCAGTGAAAACAAACAAGATTTAGTGAAAAAGCAGAAGCTGACAATAGGTTTAGCACCAGTGACCTTGAAACACTTCCATTCACACACAGCCCAGTCATGCCATTCTTAATAGCTACCATCTTTCCTCTCCACCACCTTCTGCCTGAGCCATCCAAAAAACCCATCTCTGCACTCAGAGAAGAATGAACCAATGCATTGCACCCTTGTCTACTTCCCAGCCACCAGCAGGTCTACAGGGTCTACTTGAACTCCAAGATATGACACTAAATTAAAAATGTAACAAACTAATTTAATCACCTAAATCTGTCATTTCTCACAGGGAGGGGTCTCCAGCAACCAGGGACAACTGCAATTTTATGTTTTAGAGAGGATTTTTCTAGATCCTCTTTTCTGCCGTTTAAAGAGATAGAGTGTCCAAAAGCCAAGCTCCTGCACTAAACATGAGGAAAGCAGGACTCATCCCAGCACACATGCACATACACACCCGCCCTCCTTTCCTCCCCTCACCAAGGGTGCTGGCTGCTGTTACACAGAGAAGCTAAGTCTAAAAGTAACGTTCCTGAAACACATTTCTTAACTAAGCAAGAGAAACCTTTTACATTACATAGTAGTCATGGCAACCCATCTCACAGTGATATTTACTAGTGCTTCTGTTACTTTTTTTTGTTATGTTACAAGTCTAGAGAGTCAGAGTATTTTCAAAAACAAAAGGACAAATACCTGCTTCGCTTTTGTTGGAGACTTTGCTTCTGTGGAGCAGAAAATAAGTGGAATACAGAAAAGTTACTAAAGGGAAAATAATTTGCTATTCTTAACCCACCTCTCTGCTCTACTTCCCATACCACAGATAAATGGTCTGTTTTTTTAATTCCTGTCTGAAACTTGAGAAATACAATTTGCAAATTCCATTTCAATCACATCCTTTCTCTGCTACTGTTTGGTTTCATTTTGAGAAAACATCTGAAGAAACATGACAATTCTTGTTCTATTACAGTCTCGCTCCCTTCTTATGCATTAAGCTTCCTACTTCAGAAATCCATTGTAGTTTGACCATAAAATGCTCTGCCTGCCTTAGTTCCTTCTCCAAGGAGAAGGAACTAAGTATATATATAAACATATATAAAAGATATATATATATCTATCTATATATACAAGAGGAACCCATTCCAAATTGTATGCAAAATTTCACAATGGTGCTACATCAACTTGTCTTTCTCCAAAACACCTCTTTTTGGCTTGCTCAGGGCTTTATCCCATGCTCAATATTACCATCTATGGCATAGAGTTTTTTGGAAGTCTCAGCCAGATAATATTGAAAATGGCTTTTGCAACACTTCAGGCTACACTTTGAAGTAGATTTGTTCAGTGCTGAACATACATGTAGCCTGTTCAAGAAGTGACAAAGTGCAGGTCAGCCTCTCTCACATACCCACATCCTGTGATATCTTTGATGACAAGAGATTCTGGATCCCTGTATTCTCAGAGAGCTTGGCGTAATGCAGGGCATTCTGTCCAAAGACATCTACCAAACTGACATCTGCACCTCTCCTCAGGAAAGCTTCCACCATGTTAAGGCTGCTAGCTTCACAAGCCATCATCAAAGCAGTTCTGAATAAAAGAAAACAAAACAAAACACAAACAGCAAGTGTCAAGGGCATTCTCTTTAGTAGCTCATTTTTTCACGGGGGGAAAAAAAATGTGTGACTTCTATTGTGCAATAAAGTCCAAGATTCCATCAACATATTTATTGGTACATAAATGTAACTGCTGTTTTTCCTTACAAACAAACCCTTGCCAGCTCTTCCTCATACACTCCAGCTGCAAATACAGGTCTGGAAACATTTCTAAAAATGGCTTCCTGAGGCTGAGAGGAGAGTCATAGATCGAAATGGCTGAAGGATAAAGTCAGACTAATAAACCTCACTGCTACACTCTGATTACAGTGGTGGTACAACATGAAAACCTTTATTTCATTCCTGCTCTCCTTCACACGTTGTGCTCAAGATAAAACAGACAAACAGATTTCAATCAAAAAGACAAAAAATCTAGATCTTCAATGAGTCCAAAGGATGAGTTTAACCTCAAACCCTGTGCTACTGTGAGCCTAAAAAAAAAAGAAAAAAGGAAATTCATGAGAGCACAAACAATTCTCTTTCCAACACATGGCAACTGCACAGAGACAGCTCTTAAAGTAAGCATAGCACACAGAAGGAGTCTTCTCCTAACAGGTTGTATCTGCTTTTCTCAATTATTTGAAAGGGCCATAAGAGATGTACAGAATAATTGCAAACACACAGAAAACATCACCTTTCAAGCATGCTCTAATACTGCCTTCCAGCTCAGGCTGGAAGTTCTCCTTTCTCAGCATGAAAACATGCCTAATAGGTTGGCCAAGTTTACTGCCAAACACATTCCTCAGCGCAGATATGATGCTGAAAGGTTACTACAGTGATAATATTTGCTAACTATTAAGACTACAGTTTCACTAATGAATTAAACATACTCCCTGTAATGGGTGAATCACTTGGAAAAGTGACGCTGTTGCAGTGCTGTGCTAAAAGTAGTGGTGAGTGATAACTCGGATAACACCTCCAGAGTCACAGGCATGGCTTTAGATTACCAAAATAATTCACTTAGTCTGGACGTGATAGGAATCTGGAGATGCCATTTTTGAAGGTTATCCTTCTTTTCTCCCAATGAGGTTTCTCCTATTTCAGTAAAATCTTAAGTACTTCTGTGAACATGAGATGCAGCAGTGGTCACTTCCCTCACCACAATTAAAGTAAGAAGTAAACCAGCGTATTCCACGTTACAATGTTTTGTTACACAAAGTACTATCTTAAAAAAAATACAAAAATGGGAGTCCTATCTATGACAGAAACTCCTTCATCCAATTAAAGCAGAAAGTCTTAACACTGTCTGCTGATTAAACACTAGGAGAGTGAGGGGAAGGCAGAGGCCCCAGGGTGTGCAGCACCTCAGGTTCAAAGCACCAATGAGACCAGGAAAACGACAGCAAACAAAGGGGTTTTCTTCAAACAACTGGGAACAAAAAGCTCTCTAATGAACTTTGGACTGATAAAAAACAAGTTAGGGTCCACTGTTATATTCACAGGTGCCACCACAAAACAGAACCAGCATTGTATCACACAGAATAATCAAAACTGCTATGACGTGTAAGTGCCAAGTCTTCTCAGAATCTCACTTTTACCTCCACAGTTTAACAAGCTGTTTATAAAACAGTCCATAAGTTTCTAGGAGTCTTGATCTTTGTCAGTATCATCAGAACAAGGATACTGCTTTTTAAAAAGTTTTCTGATGCATGCACTATCTCTTAATGCAGAAAAATCTCTAATAGGCCCCTTCTAAAACAAGACCATCTCCACCATAGAGATTTACTGTATTTTTTTTCTTGCTTCTGTGGCTGCATTATGGCAAAAAAAGCAATCCTCCACAGATTTTGCTCACAAGTAGCAGTTTTAAGGATTTAAGTTGGAGGTATTAACTCATTCCAAGAAGAGAGCAGCATTTCAAACTGGGACACTTAGAAAGTGATGTGTGGGTAAGTGCTATCAATCATATTCACACAGGAATCATCTAAAAATGGGCTATACTGCTCTGGTAGCCCAAGGGAAATATTACAGGCAGATTAGTTTTATAGTCAAATAGTTTCTGCTTCATCTTTCACTTCAGTCAGAGTTCTGTAAGCCTTCTCAGCAATCAGGATATGCTGTCTAGTACAGAAAGCGTTATTTCACCTAACATCAACTATTTTGGGAAGGATTTGAGAAGAAATCTTCATTTAACAGCCAGATTTGGTGAAGAATCAACACGTTAACCTGCTATACCTTCCATTTTTATCCCTGGTGTTGATGTCTGCTCCATGATCCAGAAGGTATTTGCAGACTTCTGTATGACCATTTTGTACTGCAAGCAGCAACGGTATGTTCCCATCCTAGAAATGCATATAAAGAAACTTTGAACAATATTCCACTGACAGAAACACACTGAGATTTAAAGTCAGCTATAAATTTTACCTTTACATAGGAAAAAATGAGATGCTATTAGTACATTTTTCCTGTGCACCATAAACACAGCTGAGTGTGCTATAATTCCTTTCTTGTCTGCTGAGGATGATACAAAACACAGGGAGTAAAAATGCTTTTTGCTTTTGTACTCCCTTTGCTGTTTGCTCAATGCTAAAACACAATTATTTTGAAATTACAAAATATCTTTCTGTAGCTCCACAACAAATATGGTAATTTTAACTAAGTACTAGGCAAAAATACAACATTGCATAAAGTCATAGAATAACACAGTTGGAAGACACCTTCAGAGGTATCTGGGGGTTCTCCCACTTTTTTTTCTCAATGCAAAGCTAGGCAAATTTCAAGTTTCAGCACATTGCTCAGAGACTTGTCCAGTCATGTTTTAAGTATTTCCAAATGTAAAGACACAGCTCTAGGTACTAGTTCCAGTGTTTGATCACCTTCAGGGTGAGGTTATTTTTTTTACTAGTAGCTAACTGGAATTTCCCAGTTAGGTCCACTATCCAAATTCTGACTATTGCTTATCATTTTGTCATGCACCTCTAAGGCTGGTCTCTCCTACAGCTGGCCATGATGCAGCTAAGGACATTTTTAAGATACTCCTACTGCCTTAAGACTGAACAAACCTTTCATGCCTTTAAAATGCATCTGCTGAAATCTTAGCTCAGATATCTGTGACATATTTGTTTTGCTAAAAAGACCAGATACAGACCAAAGCCAAAACCAAACAAGTTTGAGTGTTTTTATCACTTCCTACGTGGCCAGATCCCTTTCTCTTGTCATTAGGTTTTTTATCAGGGAGTTGCATCATTCCCAAACCCAGACCTGGCTGGCTGTAGACATTTCACTGAATTTGTCTCTGAGCCTTTGGAATATGTCAGGTACATCTTTTCCCCTCAGGCTTATCACACTCTGATTGGGCATTGTGAGCATTTCGAAGCCCCTGGCCACACAATGGGCCTTTTCCTAAGCCTCCTGGGGACAACGGAAACACTTTTAATTATGTTTTGAACGTGCAAGAATTGATTCTGGCTACCTGTGGCAACGCACCAAAAATCAGCAAACCCTGCCACTACGCTATCAGACTGTGAAGTGCTTTCACACCTCTTCAATGACAAGCTGCAAAAGGAACTTCCTCCAGCAGAGAAATCCCAGAAGGCATAAGCACAGCATTGTTCTGAACTACTGCACCCAAGATGGAGCGTGTAAAGGGCATGCAATGAGGGTGATCAAAGCTCTGAACTATCTGCAATATGCAACAGGAGAAGAGGTACATACCAAATCTTTGATGTTAATGGGACATTTGTGCTCACACAGGAGTTGAACTGCCTGAAGACACCCACATGCAGCTAAAAGAAAATAAAATTAAATTTAAAAAAACAAGACAATCGTGAAAGTCCATTAAACCCCAATTTCAAAATTTGTGTCCCACATTTCCACTTGCAATACTGCAGCATTATAGTAGAGTAGAAAAAACAAATTCTAGGCTGATGAGCTAGGAATATCAAGTACAACAAAATAGTACAAACTTTCATCAAAGAAGTTACCTGCATAATGTAAAGCTGTTTTCCCCGAATTGTCAGTGCTGTCGATTGGGCATTTACTCTGCACAATTCAATAAGGAAAAGGAAAAAAAGCAATTAGAGAAATACAAAGAAAATAAAACATAAGTTTTATACAGACAGAGTGCTTAACATCTTTGAAAAGGATTTGCTTCAGAGAAGAATACTGAAGGAAGGTACAGCTTCTCTCTCTACCAATCTGGTATTTCTCTTCATATCAACTTATACTGAAGCCATAGGAAATCCTCATGGTTAAGAGAACTGTCTCTAAAAAATATTATATTTTCAGAATAATTTAAGTCGGTAAATAAAAATCTAAATAAACAAATAAATAATAAAGTAATAAATAAATAAGTAAATAAAATCTCTCCTTTGCCTCAGATTTTTTTTCTTTTTAACATTAGAATAAAAGCTAAAACAACCATCTCCTAAGGAAATTTGTCCTGCATTATTTCATAGAACCACGGCATGGTTTGGATTAGAAGAAACCTTAAAGATCATCTTGTTCCAACTCCCTGCCATGGGCAGGGACACGTTCCACTAGAGCAGGTTGCTCAGAGCCTCATCCAGTGTGGTTTGGAACACTGCCAGCACAGGGCATCCACAGCTTCTCTGGGCAACCTCTGCCAGTGCCTCACCACCCTCACCCTCAGTACAGAATTTCTCCCCAAAACTAAATCTAAACCTACCCTCCTTCAGTTTGAAGCCATGGCTACCTGTCCCATCACATATCCACTTAAAAACTCCCTCCCTGGTTTTCCTGTGAGAACCCTTTAGATACTGAAAAGCAGCTCTATGTTCTCCCGGGAGCCTTCTCTTCTCCAGGCTGAACACCACAGTCTCAGCCTTTCCTCACAGAGCTGCTCCATCTCGCTTGATGCCTTAAGTTTTAGCTTTCATTATCCAGATTCTGTACTGCATTAGTATATAACTCTGACCTTCATATAAACTGTTAGCAAGTTCTCTTCACAGTTTAGTTAGACAAAACAATCCTTTTCCAGGCTGAGAACCAAGGATACCATTGCAGCTTCAGGCCCAAAAAAGTATAAACACTGAATTGAGGAGAGCAATCTGGGAGGATGGGACTTCATAACCTGCTGTAATTGGACAATTAACCCCAATATGTAAATGGACCAAAACTTATAAAAGTGTGAAAACTTGACCCATTGTCCAACTTGGGTACAGCCAAGGTCAGGCTCTTGTACTGCCCAAGGTGTATCCTTTGAAGGCCTTTTAATAAATGCTTACTTTATTCCTTTCACACTGTCTAGCCTCTGTTCTAGGTAGCCTCAGGGCATCACTTTGATCACCTTCATGGCCCTGCTCTGGGCTCACTCCAGCAGGTCCCTGTCCCTCCTGTGCAGGGACCCCAGCTCTGGATGCAGTGCTCCAGGTGGGTCTCAGCAGAGCAGAGCAGAGGGGCAGAATCCCCTCCCTGCCCTGCTGCCCACGGGGCTCTGGATGCAGCCCAGGACACGTTTGGCTCTCTGGGCTGACCCAGGTGCAGCATCAGCACTTGGCCTTGTTAAAGTTCATGAGGTTCCCATGGGCCCACAGTCGAATACCATACAGGTTCATTAGCATTTTTAAAAAATAAGCACCCACAATCCAGTTATATCTTGTTGTATTACAATTATCAGATGCTACTGATCAATCTAGTGTTCAAAGCAATAAATAGTAACAAAAAATAATTCAAATCCTTATCAAGGCTTATTTTGGTACAGAAGATTTTCGTTCTAGTTACAACAAAGAGAATATCATAGAAACTTAGGTTCATTTGGGTTGGAAATAAGCATCATGATCATAAAATCCAACTATTGACCCAGGACAGCCAAGTTCATCACTAAAACATGTCTCACACCTACACATCTCTTAAATCCCTCCAGGTGAAGAAATATTTCTAATATTTCTAATCTCCTTGGGTGCAAACTTTCCTCTTTCTCATTGTGATATGGTCAACCCAAAGCCTCCTTTTCTCCAAACACCACCAGCTCCCTCAGCTGCTCCTCGCAGGACTGGTTCTCTAAACCCTTCACAAGTCTCAATGCTTTTCGTTGGACAAGAGGGGACAAGACCCTAAAATCATGCATTTCTAGAAAACAAACATATAACTTTTGACTTTTACATGCAGCACTGTCTCCAACACGCCTATGATTATCTAGGAAAACAGGATCGGGTAGACCATTACATTCTGTAACAAAAACGTCATGATTCTGCCTGTGTGAAATAATTATTCAGCCTGTTTTAGTTCAATAACAGCTAAACATTCCTTGCACACACTTTGGTCCACAGAAAGATAATCCTAAGAGGGTGAATTACTGGAGAATATTACCAACAGCTTTGCACTTAGGAACGTGTTTATAAATCTGCATATTGAAATAAAACCAGAAAAACATCAACGAAAGCAGTGTGCGGGTGCAGCAGGCAAGCAGAAGGGCAGCAGATCCTCGGTGTTGAGCACGGTCAGCTCAGAGCTCGCTGCTGCTGCCTGCGATGCCAGCAGCGACGGCCGGATGGCGACTGCATCGTGGCAAAGGGACCGGCTGAGTTATCAGCCCTCCCGCCTGCACACAGCCTGCACGGGCCGTGGAGGTGGGAGTCAGTGAAACTGGACCCTGTGCTGACAGAGACACTGACAGAGGTCAGCCACAGACAGCTGCGGAGCCCTGAGGCACTCAGGCAAAAACAATCTGGAGGTTGGGATATAGGATCCATTCTCTCTCTGCACTACCGTGCTCAAGCGCAGTTGTTAATCATTATTTCGTCTGTATTCTCAGTCTGTATTCATTATTTATCTGAGACTTACTGATAACTCCAAACGTAGAAAAACCTGTTCTGTTTCTCTGATCACCACCATGAAAACTTACCTGTATTTCTGAAATGGAACTGAGATGGACAACGCAACTCTTCTGCTTCTTCCCTTTTGTTTTTCTTACATTGTCTCCCCATTTTTTCAACAACCTTTCTAGCCCCTCACTGTCCTTTACCTCATTTCATTGAAGATTCGATTATTTCTGTATTATTTTTGGATCTAAACTACTTTGTTTTTGTCCCCTTTGGCTTTAAACTTGAAAACATTTCAATGGTGAAACACAGAATCCCCAGAAAGCATTCCAGTGGAACATTATCAGAATCTCCATAGAAGTGAAAAACCTTTTCCCCTGTAACTCTTAATCTACCTAATTCCAAGTCATCCAACCACACAGACAAAACACAGGAAGTTAAAACTGAAGCTACAACCTACTTGAAACCAAACCAAGCTATGTCAGAGCAGCTGGACATGGTAAACTATATTTGCAGGCCACTGAGGGAAGACACACTATTTTCTATCATCCAGTGCCTGTTCTACCCACAGTGCCTGAAAGGTCCTTAAACTCTTCATGTTTAAACTCTTGATATGCCTGTCTTGATGCCAAGGAGATAGAACAATACAGAATACGATTATAAGCACAAAATGAGTTCACATCTAATGGAACTAAATGAAAATTTCAAAAATCAAAATTAATTTGATTTTTCTTTTACCTGAAGTAACCTTTTGATGCAATCAGGGTGGCTGTTCTTCGCTGCAAGATGTAAAGCACTGTGCCCTAAATGAATAAAAGCAAAGCAAATTAATTATTCAATCATGCCAAAGCACAGGAAAAAATCTTCCATGACAAAGGCAAAATCTTGAATTATCTGTCTTGTTCCTATCATGACACATAAAAAATAAGGGTAGAGAAAATAAATTAAAAACCTACATCAAGCAGAATGTCTTTACTACTGGTTGTTCAGACAAGTAACAGAACAACCTTAAAGTCTTAATTCATATAAAGGAGTGACACAAACATTGTGTCGGACTACACCTTGGCAGAAGTAAGTCTAAGATTATACATTATGTCTTGTTTCTTAGAAAACAATTTTCCAATATTATAGCGCTTCCCTTCCTCACAGATGTCTGTTAGTGTCTTCATGATTTTTGGTATTTGTCAATGAAAACGTAACCAGCATCAAGAGCAAAATCTGCCAAATTCACCACCTACAACTATATTAAACTTATGTCACCCATTAAGTGCACATAGAAGACTCAAATACAGGACTACTTTAGTTTGCACCTCCCAGATTCCCTATTTCGTATCAAACACACATCTACATTGGTTTGCATTTCAATTGATTTATTTAGCACCTCTTGTGCTAAATTCGTATTTAGCTATGCAGTGCCATGGTTTACTGACTCTGGATTTATAATGAAACACTGAAGTCTCTCCTCCAGCTTTATCTTACAGAGCATCTGAAAAATTGAAGATGACAAGACAGCAAAAGAAGAAATTATCCATGCAACTAAGAAAAGAAGGACCCAGGATTTAGTACTCAATACTCAAGACTAGACAAGGACACTTGTGACATGAAATTCTTGTTACAAGCGATGTGACTTTTACATAGTAGGATTTCACTAAAGAGCACTGGGCTGACACTCTCAGGTGGAAGTAGGCAGGTAACCTCTTACTACCCAAGCAACCAATAAATCATCAGGCAAGGTGAAGCATGAATTTGGAATTATAGTCTGCATCAGGTACATATATTCCCTTATCATTATGTTAAATTAGAATGCTTCTTCCAGTATCAGAGACACTTTTTTATAGAGGCAAATCATTCCCACGTATGACAGAGATTCCCTCAGGCTGCAGTAAGTGGCAAAACACAAGCCATGAGCCCAGCAATTACAGATCATTACTGGAGAGACAGAATGCTGACAGGTCATCCAGGTGGCTCAGCTAGCCAGAGAAAATGCTGGGCACATATTTCTCAGATGTGTCAGCTGAAATCTATTTAGAAGAGTTTGCCAGTTTCAAATTCAGCTCCTAGTGGAGCAGTAATTTAGCACAGGACTTTTGAGAACTGAAACATCATACTTAATAGCTCTCAGCTCTGTTTTGGCCTGTATCAGCTGTTTTCACTGTGTCATAATCCTGAGGAAATGTCTTCTTGCAACTCCTGTAAAGTTAATGGGATTAATAGCTTGGATAAACATGAAAGCAAAACCGAAGATCTTGATGCAACCTGTAATAATAAGAAGAGGTGGGGGAGGAGAAGTATTTTCTTTTTTCTTTTTTTTAATATTTAAAAATAACAATTTTAAAAATCGAGCAACTATTTTACATATGGAACCCACTACTAATGCTGAAATTTATGTTAGTTTTTAAGTTTTTAATTAAAAAATAAAAGTTTTTAAGGACTTTAGATTCTGACTTCTCTGTGCAGGAAAGCAAACCTGCAAGTGTTACAACTGCTTTTCCTACAGGGTGTGTGGGGAAAACAAAAGTTGTCAAATCTGTATTTTCACTCTGCACATCAATAACTACATAAGCAAATTGAGTGTATCATGCTACTTGCATAGGTTCAGAGAGGCATACCTGCACCATCTTGGGCTGTCACATCTGCACCATGTGTCACCATGATCCTCAGGCATTCTGCATGCCCTTTCGTGGCTGCCAGGTGAAAACTGGAAGAGAAGATTTACATGTCTTTTATTATTATTAAGATATTTTTTCTCTTTCATTCATTTGCATACTGGCAAGTTCTCTCCTCCCTGTCCTCAGATCTTTTGGCATCCTTTCAGGTAATTGCCTCCCAGGAAGGTAACAGCTCTGGAAGTAAGATGGCACATCAAAAAGACATAGTACTCATACTTTCATACTGCAGCTCAAATAATGTGTTCATTTTGAGACCCTCATTAGAAGAAAGATATTGATGTCCTGGAATACGTCCAGAGAAGGGTAATTTAGAGAACAAGTTCTATGAGGAGCAGCTGAGGGAGCTGGGGATGTTTAGCCTGGAGAAAAGGAGGCTCAGGAGGGATCTTATGACTGTCTATGATTCCCTCATAGGAAGGTGTAGCCAGGTGGGGGTCAGTCGGGGTCAGTCTCTTCTCCCAGGTAACTCGAGATAGGATGAGAGGAAATGGCCTCCAGCTGCACAAGGGGAGGTTTAGATTGGACATGAGGAAAAAAAATTATTTATCAAAAGGGGTGTCAAGCACTGGAAAAAGCTGCCCAGGGATCTGGTGGTGTTACCATCCCTGGAAGGCTCTTGGACATATTTAAGATACAGGTAGATGTGCAACTGCTGGATGTGGGTTGTTTTGTTAATGGTTGGACTCAATGATCTGAGAGGTCTTTTCCAACCTGAACAATCCCATGACTCTACGATTTTACATGATGTCCCATCAACTCATATCACATACATTATGTACATCTAGTCCCACACGATTTCTAAACTTACGTCCCTAGTGATGTAATGTATCCCCAAAGAATGCCTGGGCTTGGGAAATTAATACAGAAAATAGTCACAATAACTGACTTTGTTCTAGACATTTTAGTCAGAGTAGTCAAATTTACTTAGATTTAGTGAGATTTAGTTAGGTTTTCCCCTTTCAGTGGACAAAATTTAGTTCCTCTAAAACATGATTCTGCATTTCCTTAATTCAACTACATCAAGTTGTACTTCTGCACTGTCTTTTATAAAGCTCATCTTTCCTCTGTGTACTGGTGGGGGAAAATACTTTACTGTGAGTACCTGAGAAATCAAAGCTACTGGATATTTGTGAGACTGTCAGAGATGTATTTTTTACACTTGTGGTTTTGCTGTTCACCCCAAGCACTTGCTTGTTTAAACAGTGTGAAACTGCAGGCGTTACCAACCATACCACAGCACTTCCAAGCATCAATTACCTAAGATGTAATTACAGAACAAACCAAAGAAATTATTCTCAATTCAAGCCTTTTTACAGTTGAAATTTTATGTTTGACGTCCTCAGGCTGGGTACATCAAGATTCACAGAAGCAGTGCTACAGAGATGCTGCTGACTGCATTTCGCAGTCAAAATGAAGCAAAAATGAAGGAAAAGCTTCTGAAAACAGAAAAGTTTATATCCTCCTGATGCATAGTATGCCAATATTGTCAAGTCTTAGGATAAGGGCAGACATCAGACTACCATGTGAGTCCTACCAACATCCCTAAAAGGGATTTTCCCCTGGAATGTAAAAGAAACATCATAAATCATGGAGCCATGTCAACTACTGTACTTAGGAGTTTATATTTTGAACAACTGCTTCCTTTACGTGTTAAAGCTAACACTGAAAGTTCAGCCTGCTAACCAGGGAAACTTGGAACAACAGGCAGGAATGAAATGAGTATTTCAGACACAGAGTCTGTGAACTGCAACACCATGTTTCTCTAAGCCATAGACTTCTCTGCAGCCTTCTTGAAAACTCTGCAGAGAAAGAGACCTACAGACAACAGCTGGCAAAGAGAGGAGAACTAATCAAACCAGGAGGGGTCCGGGAACAGAGCTGTCTATCAAGTACAGCAACCACCTCACTCCCTAGAAGGCATCCTTCTTTCTACACTGGCTCCTACTGATTGCAAATGGCAGATAGGCTGCACTTAAGCCTTCAATACTTATCTGCAAATATAAAAGCATTCTGTATGTTCATCCTGTGAATTCTACTGCCATAAACAAACTGAAGAGTTAACACTTCCAAGAGCACAAGCAGCACTGCTGCTGTCTGTTCTCCAGTCATTCGAAATCAAAACTTCATGTACTTGGTGACCAATGCAAAGTTGTGTAAACATTCTTTGGAAGAAGTGGTTTCTCAAGCTCTGGGAAAATGACTGGGGGAGGGACACAAGAGGACTCTGACAAATTCCAACACCTCTAATTTAGCCAGCACAACATACCAGCAAAATACCAAAACATGTTCAGATACACTGGTGTAAACACAAAATACAGTCAAATTCACTTATGTATTAGGAAGATTATGAAACACACACTTGGCTAACTTACATTTGACAATATTCATAGTAATAATAAATACCTGAATAATAATAACAACTTGACTAAATCTGGGGCACTGAAGGTTTTATGGACAGACTTTGTAGGACAGTGCCAAATGCAACATGAACATGCAAGTGCTAAAGAAGTTTTATTTAGGTAAAATCTGACTGCAAAAAAGTATAGAGAAAATTAAAAAGAACTCTTTTTAGGCTATGCGCCTATGAACACATGAATCCCACCAACAAAAACAATTCCCATGGCAGTTCTCAACAAGTCATCACACATGCAGATGTTTTATTGCACAAAGAATGGCTTGCTGTGCGTCTCCTTTCTGCATCCTTTGTCTGGTACCATCTCTCACATAAACCTGTCGTGAGATATTTTTTCTTAAGAGTCTCAAAAAAATTAGAGGGGAATGGGGGATACAGTTACTTAAATGTTGGTTTAGTAAACTGAAGTCCTGCTCTATAGAGAGAACAAGTCCAGAATGGGATGAACCTATTACAGTCATATTTGAGCTAAACTATTCACAGTGTTGGACAAACTCCCCCCCTTAAGAAGCAATTCTGATTTTAAAGTTAGTAGCCCCTACTTTGGTTTTGGGGTTTTTTGTATGTGTTTTGGGTCAGCTATTTTGGTTTTTTGGGGTGTTTTTTGTTAAAAAATCCCAAACAAACAAAACAACTGACCCAAAACAAACAAAGAAAAACCCCAAACACTTGTGTAGCAGATACTGAGGAATCCTATGTAGCAAGGCAGGCTCTTGAAACAAAGAAAATGGTAGCCATTCATTTCAGTACAGAAAAATTCTTTACAGTGACATAATTTCCTAAAATATTCGAGACAAAAACTGCAGGTTTCCAAACACTGGAGTTCTCACCATCTGGATGCCTGAAGGAGTGGTGCATTTTACTTGCATCTTCTATGAATAAACTTTCCTTGATATGAAAGCAAACAACTTTTCCTCCCATTTCCTGGTTGTGCAATGACTTAGGTAAACAAAAACAAACATGTAAGACTTGATTTGGACCAAGGGCCACACTGAGGGCTGGATTCTCATTCAGCTGAAAATCCCATTACAACATAGTTCATTTTCCCTTCACAACAGATAGGCCTGTTAGTGCCACTTAGAGCCACATCTTGAGAGCCCAGCCTGAACTGATTTGAGATAGATTTCTTTTACTGCTGTAAAACATTTCTATTCTTCCTGAGGAGCAGGATGGTCTTTTTTATTGTATCCAGACGTTTCAGTGAACACAGGAGCAGCTACCATTCCCAGTGGTTCAAGATCCACCTCTGAAAGACCACTAGGTTGACACTGCTTTTTCCTATGGGAATGTATAGGTTTCATAATTACTCAGGACTTAACAAGAAAAGGTGAAAATTATGTTTGTTGTGAGGAATGCTAAGCCCAATTAGAGTAAACAGATGTTTAGAGTAAGAATGAACTTATTTCATGAGGTTCAGGTTCAACTGGAGAACAGCTACAAGGCTATCACCTCACAATCTTGTCAGGACCTCAAATTTCTTGACCTGAAATGGTACTCAAATAAAAACCCCACACTGATAGAGGATTTCTATGATGCTTGCTGCCTGAACAGAGGGTATAGGTGTATATGACATCCCTGAACTACTCTGAGGCAGCAGACTTTTTACAGATATAAGATATCAATGGGTGAAGCACTTATATCTGTCCTAAACAAGCCCATGCCTTATCCAGGGCAAATGACCTTTTCCACATTTTGGTCACAATATTAAACTAGCAAAGGAATGAAGACTTATTTAACCAGCATCTGACAGACAAAGCACAAGAGTTCAGACAGAGCCAGTCTTTCCCAAAAGATCAAGAATGAGTGTTTTCAGATTTAAATGTCTAACTCAAAAGAAAAAGGATTGTAATTTTACTACTCAGCTCACATAAAACTTTTCTTTACAAATCATTACTCCATAAGTAGAAGAACAGAAATAATCCACATTTAGGGGTTAGACTTGTAAAACTGTAGCTGATGGCAGTTGCTGAGGTGGTATTAGCAGTAAGACATGGCTCTGCTATATTCAGGTTCTCCGCTTAACCATTTGTAGAGCTACTTCCTGCAAATCCTCTTACAGAATATTTTGACAGCTGGTTTAAAACAACTGGGTGGTCCATATATCTAGGGGAAGTGCCACAAAACTAAAGAGGAACATGATAAAATCAGAAAAAATAAATATCAAGTCTTAATTTACGACACTAACCATCTAACAAGGAAATTTTCATTTGTGAAAAGAAAAATAGGGGGAAAAAAGCAGAAGAATTACACCCAATCAGAGGGTTCAATCTCTGTTTGGAAAGGTCATGCTCCAGAATTTTTTCTGGGCAGAATTAGCATTCTCTGTAACACAGATTTTTCTCCATGGCCTGAAAGTAGTTCAACACACTACTTATCAAAATCCAAAGCCAATAAAGAATATGGTTGAATTATGGATGCTAAGTGAATATTGCATTTGCTATTTCCTATTATGACAAACATGGAACCCAGTCAAACTTATACGCAAGCGTATAATACTATTGTTCTCTGTAACTTTAATCCGAGTGCTCTGAAAATATTTTAAGTGCAAGAATGTTTGAAAAACACTATGAACTCATATACACTCATTGTCAAGGTTTATTTTGAGTAAAAACATCC